GGGGGGGGGAGTTGCCTGGCGCTAGAACTTGGAATATGGTTTTCCGTGCTGTGTAGAAAGGTTGCTTTGAGAGATGCTGAATATCATTGTTACGCTTGAACTATAAGTATTTTTATGAACAGCGTGTCATAAGATGGCTGAGTGAGTAACTTTCGATAAATGAAGCTGGAAGAAATAGAAGATGGTCGCTGTGAGCAAGTTGGGAGAAAGTCATCGAACCCAAGTGCCTGAATCCTAAGGCGGCTACTGAGGCTGACCGCATCCATTCTCATGCTCAGTTTTTGTCAAACCCCTTGATACAAATAGGGATAAGATCTTTTGGCCTTTTTCTCCCCTTCAAGCAGTGCTATATTCACTTTATCCTCAAACATAGTCACACTTGAAGATAGCCAGCCAGTCCTGACTCCGACACTCCGCCGGTCATGGCAGCACATGACTGCTTTTCAAATGCGGCCTGAGTCATCATAATTTTACCCTACAAGCGGCTACGGTGCAATTCACATGATCTATTGGGGGGGGCACTTATGATAAATGATGTTGATCTAGGGCTGTCGAACCAGGATGGATTCGCATCCGGTGATCCCGCTTCCTATCTATTCCGACCGTGGATGTCCAACAAGACGGCTTCGAAGATCTCCTTTACAAGACCCTCACTCTCATCCACATTGCTGATTAGCTCCGAGATCATCATATGAGTCATCTGCGCATATTCCGAGTACCTTTCTTTCAGCCCCAACACCTCGAAAGTCTCTCTGGCCGCGTCGGTATTGCCGTCGGCGAAAGCCACCTCCAACTGCTGCATCTGCGCAGGAGTGGTCCTCTCCAGCGCCTCAACCAGTAACCAAGTACATTTGCGCTCGACAATGTCCGTGCCCACTTTGCCCGTGGTCCGCGGATCCCCGAAGACGTCCAGGTAGTCGTCTTGAACCTGAAAGTACACGCCCAGCTGCAACGATATGTCCTTGAGGACCGAGAGGTTCGCGGGGGTAGCGAGACGCAGGTAGTGCACTGCCAGCCCCAGCGGCAGATAGACGGTATTGTAGGCGGTCTTTGATACGCCCAAGAAAGCGTACGTCTGGCGGGTATGGTTCTGGAAGCCCTGGAAGGACGACTTGGCAACGTGGGTGTCCGCCACCCCGCCGAGATCTTCCTGGAGGAGGGCCTCGTCGAAGACCTCGAGGAGCTGCATGTAGCACGGATGCGTCGCAAAGTATTTGCGAAGCAGGTAGCGAGCGCAGGAGCGCAGAAGGAGTGCATCGCCGATGGCACTTAGGCCGACGTTGGCCTGCAGGTACCGGCAGAGCTTGTTGCGCCGGAAGATCGACCCGTCCATCATGTCGTCGTCGATCAGGTAGGCCGCGTGCACGATCTCAAGAATCCACCCAATCATCGAGAGATCGCGCGCCTGCTGAGCCGTGAGTCCTTGCGCCAGAAGTCGCTGGCCAGTTCGTAGAGGCATCAGGCCGCGCGACCGCTTGCCTCCCTGTGTCGACTCGCGGACACACTGTACTTTTATTAGGTCACGTTCTCATGCAGGGGCGGGCAGGGAAGTAAGGGCTGGCAGGGAGAACAATATACCTTTTCAAGCCTCTTTATGACACTGCTTGGTGTATTCAAGGATGCGACATGTTCCCGGATGTCATGGAGCAATTCTTCTAGAACCGCATCGAAGCCGGCCATGGCAGAGTCAAATGCCGCAGGCTTCTTCGGGATAGAACAAGGTTGTAAGATTTGGCAGTGGCTTACGCGCACCTTAACTGGTTGATTGCTGAGGATCTGGTGCTTGTCTGCTGCGTTGACTCGGTAATCCTCGTCTTCATGCGTCGGATCGGGTAACGAGGAAGGCAGGAGATCCAGCAAATCCGATTGACCGGACAACAACTGTAAGGATTCACGAAGCATCCTGGAGGAGTCCTTGCCCGGGTCCTGGAAGGTACCGACAAGCTCGTGGGTAATGATGGTTCTACCAGGTACTTTAACACGGAGGTAAGTGGTGATGGCGTCGACGACACAGGCGTTCGGTGTGCTCTGTGCAGAAACCGCACCTTCCGTGACCCAGATAATGCTTCTTAGTTTGCCCATGAGAGCCACCAACTGCTCCACAAAAGTCCCGTCAAATGAGTCCTCTTTCCAAAAGCCGCTCAACAGGACACACACGGTATCTTGCTGCAGTAAGACATCGGACTTGCCGGCATAGTCCATTGGATAGACAGGGACATCCCTCAAGTCATGATCTTCACACCACTCTTTGAGTGCCTGTACAACGGCGGGCGGATGGCGGCCATTGTGAATGACCACATAAGGGTGAGTCCGGTTGACGGCAGTGGATGTCATCACGCTATGGAGGTATAGACTGGGGTCTTCGAAGTCCCTGGCACAAGAGTCCAGTCCAGAAAAGCCAGTTGAGCCGAGGACCTGATCCCATTCAGCTTCGCTGATGGTGGGTCCCAGACGTCTGCCTTCGTTGACACCTATGTCCCACGGGTCATCTGTCAGCTTTAGAGATGTCAGGGGATGATAGCAAGACAAATAGCACATACCTGCCCACCACCCTGGCAGTGTCCCAAAAATAATCGACCATCTCAACGGCGGATTGGTGAGTTCTAAAAGGACGAGCTTACCCCCAGGCTTCAGCAGCTGTCTCAAACTTCGCATTGTCGTTCGGATACTTGGTGTGGCGTGAATTACATCCGCCGCCACAATTACGTCGTATAATCCAGGTTCAAAGCCCTGGGCCGCCACATCTTTGCTGATATCAAGTACTTTGAAGTTGACCTTTGACGCCCACGGGGCGAGAACTTGCCGAGCTTTCGCAAAGAATCCAGGCGAGATATCGGTAAAGTCGTATTGTTGTAAGGGCAAGCCACTTGCATCCTTGCTTAGATCTTGGAGAATACGCAGTGCTGACGCCCCAGTTCCAGCGCCAACCTCAAGAACCCTCATTCCTGAACTGGTGTTCTCGGACACTGTCCTCTGGATTGCTTCCGATACCTGATCTTGGCACTGATGCATGCCAATCGCCGAGCGGTAGTATTCAGCAAGAAGATCGCCGTCAAGCATCAGAGACAAAGGCTGTACTTTGCGTTGCAAAATCTGGCCCAAGTTGTTTCCAATCCTACATAATAACTCCCCTTCCGCACCACAACCCTTGGCAGCATGAACAATTTCCTCTTTGGTTCGCACATCGGGAGGAGTCAAATCTTGATCCCGGGAAAGTTTGAGGGCGGCGACGAGAGAGCGGTGCTGGTCGCTCAAGCGACCAATATCGTCATCGGTCAACTCATCTAGGGCTGTTTCTGCAAAGAACTTGGCGGCAGCGTTTAGCGAGTGGATCATTTGCTTGACGAGTTGGTCAGACGTCTCGTTCTTCTGCCCTCCCTCGTCCAAGGTGGAAGAGTCTTCCGTGGACGTTGGGCAGCAAGCTCTATCCGCACTGACAACTGCCGGAGTCCCCACCCAGTATCGCCGGGCATGGTTCCACGGATAAGGCGGGAGGTCGACGATGAATCGAGGAGGAGCCTGCCATGCCTGTGATGGAACGTTCACAGCTTCGATGTCAACTGCACCACCTTTCATGACCACGGTGCCTGCCAATTCAAGCATACTGGACAATCCATCCGCTTTTCGCATTATGCACGAAGCGTAGCCCACACTCTTCTGCATGTCCAAGTCTTTCAGAATCTGGCTGACCGGACCCAGAAGGGTGGCATGAGGCCCAACCTCCACCAACAGGTCCAATTTGCGCGAGATTCCGGACAGCTGACACATAGCAAAGACGGCGTCGCAGAATCGGACGGGTTGGGTCATGTTCCGTACCCAATACTCGGGGCCCAGCTCGGTGGTCTCGATGCGGCGCCCAGCCACCGAAGAGTAAAAGTGTACATCACTAGCCCTGTGATGGGGCCGAATGTCCGACAGTGCCTGGCGACAAGGTTCGGCCAGCTGGTGCACATGGGCCGAGTGATACGCTACGCCGACGTTGAGGCGCTTGACGAGAGCTCCGTGCTCGGGCAGAATCTTCTCCAGCTCGCGAATGCCGGCCAAGTCACCAGCCAGCGTCACACTCCTCGGACTGTTATAGCAGGCTACAGCAACAACGCCATTCTCCAGCTGGGACAGGTAAGGCTGAACCTGCTCGGCCGACCATCCGACCGCGAGCATTCCTCCGGCGGTCCGCTTGTGACTACCTTCCAAGCTCGCAATCAGCTGACCTCGGTGAAAGGCCACCTTCAATGCGTCGGAGAAGCTTAAGGCACCCGCAGCGTATGCCGCGGCTATCTCACCACCGGAGTGGCCCACCACCGACGTGGGACGGATATTCCAAGACGACAGCAGATCAATCAGACACAGCTGCAACGCTGTTGTGATGACCTGGTAGACATCGGGGTGATCGATCCTACTGACCTCTCCGTATCGGAATGTTTCGTCTATTTGCGTAATATCCAAATATCAGTAAAATTGCTAGAGATCGGGTCACGATATTGTGATCTCGACTAGGAAGCTCGAAACCCACCTGTCGCTTTCCACGTGCAGCCAAGTGCTTTTAAACACTCGTCAGCCTGAAGAAAAGATTTGCGGACCACCGGATAACGCTGGAAAAGGTCATAGCCCATCCGCTCCCACTGTGCACCCATGCCCGTGAATACGAATCCAATAGCGGGGGCTCGAGCAAGCCTTGTCAACGGACTGGTCTCGCGCGATAGGCTGAGAGCCAATTCATCAATAGACGAGGCCGTGACCGCAACACGATACCGCAACCGCGACCGCTGGGCGAGGGAGTATGCCAAGTTTTGCAGAAATTGGTCTTGATGCGACTGGCGAACAGATTTCAGGTAGTCCACCAGCTGCTGGATCATCATCGAGCCGGATGTCTGGTCGTTGGCCGAAATCAGGAACATTCTGCGGAGTCCGTCGGTTGCGTGACCATTCTCGACAATCTGCAGATCAGATGAGGTTCGTGGCCATGCTGTGCCAGCCGTGAAACTGGAACTAAACCCGTGATCGAGAACAACGTGGGCATTGGTTCCGCCAAACCCAAAACTGTTTACGGAGGCTCTCCGGAGCCCTGTGTGAGGCCATGGGTTCAACTCGCGCGGGATCTGTTGGTGCCATTCCAGACGTACCCGGGTCAGTGAATGGTTTAAGGTGTACATCAAGGGCACAGCACTGGGGGGGGGCACTGGGGGACTGACCTGCATTGCCCACTTGTCAAGGGGGATGTTCGTGTTAGACTGAGAGAAGCCGCACTGCGGAGGAATCATGGCTCGCTCCAGACAGACAATGGCCTTGACGAGTCCAGCCAAGCCACTCGCGCCTTCGAGATGACCGATGTTCCCCTTGACGGAACCCACATGGAGTTGCGGGTTAGAGAAGACCTTGGCGATAGCCCTTGCCTCGACGGCGTCACCGGTCGGCGTCCCTGTCCCGTGCGCCTCGACCAAGACCGTGTCCTCCAAGCGTAGGCCTGCGCTCTGGTAGACCCTGCGTACCAGGGATTCCTGTGCCTCCCCGTTGGGGAAGGCGATTCCTGCAGTCTGGCCGTCGGAGTTGACGCCCGAGGCCCGGATCACCGCGCGGATGGGGTCCCCGTCGCGGACCGCGGCGTCCACCCGTTTGAGGATCACCGAGACGCACCCTTCGCCACGACCGTACCCGGCCGCGCGACTGTCAAACGGATACGACCGTCCGCTGGGTGATAGGACGTTGAGCTGGTGGAGGCCAACATGAAGGTCAGACTGGCAGATCAGGTTGACGCCGCCGACGATGGCCTGCTCCGCCTCCCCACTCAGGATGGCCTGTCGGGCCTGATGCAACGCGACCAGGCTGGCCGAGCAAGCGGTGTCGATAGTCATACTGGGGCCTTTGAGGTTCAGCACATACGAGAGGCGGTTGGCAAGGATGCTCCGGCTGGCGCCCAGAGCAGTGTGGCCACCGATCGCGCATCTGTTCTTGGCTGACAGACTCGCATAATCGTGGGCGAAGGTCCCGACGAAGACGGCCGTGTTGGTGCCACCGATGGACTGCAGCGATACGCCCCCTTTGAGTCAGGTCAGCGGGCGGCGATCTTTTCAGAAGGATACATGAGCCGGCGCAGTACGCACCATTCTCTAGCGCCTCGTATGTAACTTCCAGGAGCAATCGCTGCTGCGGATCCATCGCCTGGGCTTCCTCAGGAGAGATCCGGAACATGGCCGCGTCGAAGCGAGCAATGTCTTCAGTCAGGAAATATGCACCTTCGACCTCAGTCTGCCAAGGAACGAACGATGATCGATTAACCATCCTTTCTGGTGTGATAATGCCCGCACCTCGAAGCTAGGGTTGAGAGAGCCTTACATTCTTCCATGCTTGCAGGTCCTCTTCATCAAGCCGGCCTGCTGGAGGAGGTGACCAGCCATCCGCACCATTTGCCAGCATGTCCCACAGTTGGGTACAAGTAGTCACTCCACCGGGAAGTCGGAGGCCGATGCCAATAACTGCAACGTCGGTCATGATCGAAAAGTGTGTGATAGTAAAATTGCAACTTGTGCTGCAAGCCTCAAGCCTCTGTTGGAGTGAGTGTGTCCACTGCCAGCAGAATTTATGATATTTCTGCATCCGCTATCCGCACTGACTGGCGGGGACAGAAGCACCGGCTGTCCGGTTTTCCGCTGCGACCTCAACACAAACAGCGCCCGCAAGTCCTTCGTAACTTTCCCAGTGGCTCTGAATTGACTCGCAGGTTTCTGCCCCGGGGGCAACATGTCGTCGAATAGCGCTGGAAGCGCTCACTACTCTCGGCTTGAATATACCTCGCATCCTGGGTCACTAGTGCTAGCTAATAGCTGCCAAGTAGTCCCGAAAACGCGCCGCTTCCACCTAGGGCTGTCGGAGGGGGCTTTTCGGGTTAACTCGGGTTGGAATCTGCGTAGCAGGGCACGTGTCTGTATTAAACTATCTGGACATAAATTTTCCAAATCGACGCAAACCGTATGAAAATGACTGCAATAGACGTGCCGCTACACGCAACTGCACCGCCCCTTGGACCCAACTATCTAGGTTGGAGGTGCTACATCTTCTTCTTCTTGGGCCCTAAATTTAACTAAAATCGGATCGTGTGCAGTACTTGACGTTTTCACACAGTGACATGCGAATCCATGGCTCTGCCCTCTGTTAATCTCAACTACCCAAGAAGATTCATAAACTACGATGTACTCAGCCCAGCGCCGCCAGCATACTTCTTGCCCCATGAAAGCAAAGAAGAACACGAAAGCCGGAAAAACACCATACACCACAATACCGCACCGAAGATTCTCAAAGCCGATGGATTGTGCAATCGGCCTTGAGGTCCGGCAGCGGGTCCGCGCAGATCGCCTCCCACCAGCCATCCAAGAAGTTCTCGCAATAGAGCCGGAACCACGGCGTGAAGGTGAACTGCGAGTCGCCCAGCATGCGCTGCAGCTCCGAGCGCGTGACATAGCGGTAATCCCGGATCTCCTCGGCATTGACATCAAGGCGGACATCGGCTTTGCAGAGGAAGACCGAGGCAACTAGAGCAGGCCACGCAGTTAGCACCGGTGCCACGCCCGATTTTCATACCGAGTCAGCGAGCCCCCCTCCCTTTTCCCCAACAAGAAAGAAAAAATAGAGGACAGCTGGCTTACTCTCATGCTCTCCCCAGCGCGCGTCACTAAGGCACCGGTAGTGCATCCGCGTGGCGAAGTGCAACGACGCAAGCGCGACGTCGTCCGGGGTCACGCCCAGCTCGTGCTGGAGCTTGCGCTGCGCCGCGCGCCGGGATCCCGCGATGCCGCCGGTTTCCGTCGCGACTGCGAGCGGGTGGGAGCAGCACGTGTTGGTCCATTGGTTGGGCAGGGTGATCTTGTGGCTGGCGCGCTGGTGGATCAGGAGGCGGTTCTGGGTGTCGAAGAGGAGAACGGAAAAGGCTCGGTGGAGGAGGCCGCGGTCGATGTTGGCGAGTTGGTGGCCTAGACGTGATGGGTGGGTTGGGATACCAGCTGGTGGTTTGAGAAGGGGAAAGGATATTTCCACGCGTGACTTACAGACTCTCTTGCTGGCCATGCCGATTTCCCTATCTTCCTCGTCGACAACGATGCACATTTCCTCCATCAATGCATCTTGGCTTGGTGGCGGGTCCCCGGTGCGCGTGGCGGATGCGAGGGCTTTGTTGGCTGAGACGTCCAGCGGTTGGACGTCTGGGAATAGGTGGAAGATGTTCTCGGAGGTGGGTTGGGGTAGGTTGAACTTGGGCACAGTAGCTGACATTGCGGGTACTTGGGGTTGTGTGTTGAAGGTGAAGGAATTGTGGGAGAGTAGACGATGCGTTGGGCCTCACGGCGGTGCATTGTTTATGTTGAGCCCTACTGCCGGGGCGGTTGGAACCGGCTGTGCGCATCCCATGCTTGTCGCCACCGGCTGTCGTGTCCAGCTTGACATAAAGTGCAGGAGATGAGGTTGCGTCTGGTGAGTATTAACACAATCATCCTGAAATGTCCTGAATCACCCTGTGCAGCAACCTAATCCACGTTGAGCAGTCACGCACACCCGCCTCATTCGAAGAATCAGAAAGAATAGACCGGATGGCAGCGATCTCTCTCAGCTCCGTGGCCGCGTACGTCTTCGTTGGAAAGACGGCGAGCGTGGCCGGTGTTCTTGCCCCGGAGATGCAGAAAGCCGGCGCACGCACGTTCATCTTCATCACTGAGTCCACGGGTCCGAACGCAGCTCTCGCGAACATCATCCAGGATCTCCAAGCAGCTGAAGCCATGGTGCTACTCTACACAGACGGCCTGTCTCAGGCTGATCGTCTGAAGACGGTAGTCGGGCTCTGGACCACGGAAGGCCGTCACATCGGAGGCGTGATCTACGACCAGACGGACGCGGTAGTAAGTGCCTTGCATGACCTTCCATGACGTTGTGACTAATTGTGTCGTGCAAGCCCGATGATCTCGGGGATGTTCTTTACCACGCCGCGGGGATGCAGAATCTACACCAGAGCACCGCCACGCTGCAGTTGGACTTTTTTCTCGTCTACCACGAGAAGGACACTCCTGCTGCCGCGATGGCCAAGCGCTTGGCTCGCCACCGGTCTCGTTTTGGGCTCCCACTTACGTCGCTGGAGCTCGAGTGTAGACCCTGGGTCGCGGACGCAGTCGAGACCCAGATTCTGACAGGCTTTCGATCAGTCTTCCCAAACCCCGCTCAGGCAGAGGGACGGAATCAGCACCCAAGACCCGGGACGGGGAGTGTGTACTCTTCATCCTCGGGTGACGGTACTGCCCAGACGGAGCCGACCACCCCTGGTGGCTCGAGTGCATACGGGAGCTCGCCTCTCCCCGCAATTTCTCCCTTGGAAGAGTGCGATCCGAAATTTGACCAAGGCTTGGCTGGCGGAACAGATCATTCTCCGATCAAGGTGAATACTGGATCTCTGTTTCTGTTCGATCTTGCCGCAGAGCAAATCGCCAGTCTCCTCGCCATGGAAGCTGACGAAATTGACCTTGATGCCCCGGTCGCAGCCCTCGGAGTCGACTCTCTGATTGCCACTGCCTTCTGCAATTGGCTGGAGACAGAGGCCAAAGTACAAGTGGTCCCATTCGAGTTTCTGGAGGCGGAGTCGCTGCGGCGTTTCATCCAGCATGTCATTCATCCTCGAGAAGAATCGTAGCATGATTGTATATAGCACATAGGTATACCATTCTATCGAGCCCTACGTTCCTTTTGAGGATATCAGTCCAGGAGCTTGGAGTAGGTGATCGGGGCGACAAGGTACCAAACCAAACTCGCCGTGTACATTCTCGCGCCGTAGACGGCGAACTTAGAGTCGCTCAGTGTCTATAAGGAACAGACCGCGGCCTACGTGGGCGAGGGAGACGTCGTACGGGATGTTGTTCTAGGGTTCTGGGGAAAGGGGGGGGGCTGAAGGATTTCAGCGATCTCAACGATCTGAGCGATATCAGCGCTGTAGGACTTGCGAAGAAAGTCGATCAATAAGCACCGAGGGTATGCCTCCCACACGACTAGGGGGGTCAGGGTGTGGAACGTCATGTAATTGCGTTCGTGCTGCCGTGACTTCGCCGTTGATGGTTGCGTGAAAGCTTTCCGGGAGATGGTGCACTGCTGGTAGCAGGCGTCCAGAGCCGTAGTAAAGCACCGCATGAGGTGTTGCACTGCGTGACGCGTGAAGGCCTAGCTCAACGACGATGGGGGCATATCAATGTACCGTAGAATACAGCATGGAATGCGATCATTCATCGGAATTAACAGGTAACTCTCGATTCTATGCCTGCAATTATTCGCGCCGCATCAGCATGGGTAGCTTGAGGAAAAGGGAGGCCGGCAAAAGGAGAAGGTGGGTTGACAGGCAGCATGAGTAGGGCAAAGATGTGTCGGCAGCGACCGACTGAAGTGAATGAACATCACAGAGAAGAACTTTCGCTGGGTTTCTCGGAAAACAACGGTGTGAGGACATTAGATGAAAAGGAAGTGTAAGAAGAAAAAACAAGAGGCAAAAACATACAACAGAAGGGATTCGCTGGTGGTCACCCACCCAACTACTAACCTCCCGGCGTGTGGCTTGAGTACGGCTGAGCGGACGGGAAGCCCTATTTTCCACACCCTGTGGTCGTATGTGCTTGAGGCCTGGCTTCAAGAAAATATGACTGGACGCGTGGGTCTTCGAAAGAATGACAGGGTTGAGAGTATGATCCCAAGAACAAACTCGATGGGATTCATTGTGTTTTTGGTTTGCAGCGTGACGGGAGCAACTGATTAGACAGAAAAGAAGTGGTTTGGAACTTGTAGATGGACTTTCCTTGTAGGCAGCGATCAGGGAAGGGGACTTGTCACATTTTAAGCATGTCCTAACCGATCGATATTTTTGACGACTCCGTCCGGTAGTATCGCCCCGTAACAGTCAATCTGGCTACCAGACATTTCTACGCATCAACAGTACAGTCAAAGACACTTCACACAGCCACCACCGTGATGGAGGAGAGTGACGAGACTCATGTCGGGAGTCAAGATATGCTTTCTGAGCTGGTCATTGCAATCGACCTATGTGGGAATGAGAAGGGAAGGGAATCAATAAATCCGCCACACTGGCTGTGTCTTGAACTCAGAAATACGAATTCTAAATTGAAAATAAAATTGGATGAATAGGTAAATTAACCGCTATAGCTAGCACCTCCTTGGGTGATCAGACTTGTAGGCACTTGATAGAATGTCGGAGGAGGGTGATCGACCGGATTAACTTGGGGCATCCAGCCTTCCGAATCCCGAGAAAGAATCCCTAAAGCTGAAAACCAACACAGAGTGAGTGGGTGAACCAAGCGTAATAAATACCTTAGCTTATTCGCTTGGTAGACTGCTCGAGGCTGGACTCGAGAGAGATCGATTGACCTGATTAAGTGGGGAGGGGGGTGCATTCAGCCTCCCGGATCCTAAGACAAAGGACTCATGTATGTCCGCTCAGAGCAGTGAGCGATGCCACCGCATTGAACACCAACAAAGTTTGGTCCACCCAATCATCCACTCTCCGTTCTGTGCAAGCAACTGGACTGTACCTTTGTCACTTACGTATGTCAAAGATGCCATTATCCTCTTTGCAGTCTGGTAAAATTAGATTCTTTCATCCCGCCCAGGTATAAGACATGTGCACCGAGCACCCCAAACATCTTCACTTCTCCATCTCGTCTACCCAGCGATCGACCTCACCCACTTCAACTGCCCAAGCCCCTCTCTTTCCGAGCCTACAGCCCAAGCGACATCCAGAACTGGCAAGCCTGATCCCACGAGGATGGAATTGTGGTGCTCAGATCCCGACGCCCAATTCGACCAGCAAAATTGGAGTAGGTGATTTCGTCATCTCATTCATCTAGCGAGCTGAATGGGGGTGGACATTCCAGGCTGATCATGCATCAATATGCTATAGAAACGTCCCACGACGAAGTGACCTACCTCGAGGGTTACAAGGCTTCTACTCGAAAGGTTGCGTACGAAGCCAGATACAGCTCGAACGGCCACATTGCAGACCAAGGGACTCTTCGGACTACCTACATCGGTGTCATCTTTGCGTGTAACAAGAGTTTTCACCCATCATCCGGCATTGACAGTGAATTCTTCCTCGTCTGAGATGTTCCTGAGCCCCTGACGACGTCCGATGGTGAGAAGACGAAGGGGGCAGGGGAGGAAGGGTCACCGATCCGCCCCTTTCTCCACCAATGCACCGATTTGTACATCGCCAGGTCCTTCCACGACCTCGTTAGGCTGGTGTATCCACACCTCGAAGTCATTTTCACAGCCGAGTTGCGTCGCCCCCGTCCCCAGACTCTGGACGCATATCTTGCTCGTACCCACCTTGCCTTCCAGCTGCTGCCCGACCCGGAGAACGAGAACGCCGCGAGGGTCGAGCCCTGTCCGTGCCCATGTCCGGACCACAGCGCGTCGGTCGACTGGAATAAATTGATGGCGACGAGCCGTGCGCAGCAGGTCATGGAGGGGGTTCCTCTCTTTGCGTTCTCGGATGTCGAGGACTTTCGCGGCCTACACCATCACCGCGTGTTTGCAGTCACGATCAATGGGATCACCTTGCTCTACAAACCGGCCCGGAACAACGCCTGTCTGGTTGACGAGGCCGAAATGCTGAGGAAAGTGGCCGCGTTGCCCGAGCGGAGGAGTCCTGCGCGTGCCCAAGCTCGAAGGGATCCTGGGGGCGGGTACGCCGTACGCGGGGATTCTCATGACCTATATCCATCCGGGGACCCCGTTGTGGGATCTGGTCGAATCGGGGCGAGTGGAAGACCCAGCCGAGTGCCAGAAGTGGTTGGGTCAGATCTCGAACGCTGTTCGAGCCCTGCATCAGCATCGGTGTTATGTGCGAGACCTCCAGCCGGGCAATGTGGTGGTCGACGGCAACCGCGATGCTTGGCTGATCGACTTTGAAGGTATTCGGGGGCGGCAAAGGGCCGAGGAATTTCCGGATGATGACCCCGAAACTGCAGACCTGCGTGACTTGGCCTACATGCAGGCGTATCTGGAGATGCACGGCCGGAAAGCACGCGAGGCAGCACGCCCTGGCCGCCGAGTCGGGATTTGGTTTGGTCGCGTGCGCAGGCGTCTGTCCGGTCCCTTCTTCCGCAAGCATTTCTTGGTTCCTTTCAGCCTCCTGGTCGCTCTTCTGCTCGTTCACTGCCTCGGCCTTTGGCCTGGCCTCTCTAGCCGCCTGTTCGCCAACTTTCCCACGCTACTGTGCGCTCTCTTCTGCATTCGCCTATCTGCTTTCCTGTTCAACCGGGTGTTCTGATCTGCTGATGTTTCTTGCCCCACCCGCGCCCCCCTCCCTCCACGCACCTCCTCTTCTTTGCTATCGTCTTTGTTCTTTCGGTTTTGGATGGATACGAAAACAACCCAATTGACAGAAAACCTGTACAAAGCGGCCGGGGGCCGTGGTCATAGTGCATGTAAGCCCGTTCCGCCCACATAGCACCCCTCTACCATTGCCTCTACAACGTTCAATGTCACTGTCATCTAGTACCGTGTGCACCTCGTAGGAATTTAGATCCTTACTCCAGCTCTGCCCACGGTGATTCCTGCGCGGGATGCCAAGAGCCCCTGTGGCTCCTGTGGCTGTGGAACAGCTTTTCCACCACTGCACTAGCCACAGGAGCCACCGGGAGTTACCTTGTCCTTTCAGTATCTTCATCATGAGCCTTAGGTTACCTACTCATATACAAATGTCTATCTAGTATGTATTGATTCCTTACAGTCTGAATTCTGCAGCTGGGGGGACCTGCAGTCGTACTGCCGCCGCTCTCTCAAACCCCTCCGCTATCCGGCGAACTACGGAGTACTGAGTAGGTAACTTGAAGATCCAGCCTGGAGCCTGGAGCCCAGGTACACAGCCCACCAACCAATCAACCCCCACTAATCTCCGACCCACAACCCCACCACTCAAGCTGCATACAGAAAAAAACACCTCTCCCCGGACACTGCATATCCAACTCTTCTCCCCAACAATCACCTCCAGCATCCCCACTCATCTATCCTATACCAAAATATCATCACCATCATCACCACAACCATAAACCCCAAAATGCCACCGCCACCACCACCACCACCCTCCACAAAAACCTTCACCCACCCCCCGACCCTAGAACCGTATACCCTCCCCCTCCCAACTTTCCTCACCACCCCACACCACCCCCACGACCACCCCCACACCCTCACCCCAACCACGCATATCGTAACCGGCGCCTTAATCTTCGCCCCGAACCCTTCACCAACAACCACAACCACAACCACAACCACAACCACAACCACAACAACAACAACACCACCACCACCACCACCCCCCAACCAACCCATCCGCATCCTCCTCCTCCGCCGCGCCCCAACCGACTCCCACCCAGGCCGATGGGAAAGCCCCGGCGGCTCCTGCGACGCCACCGACGCCTCCGTCCTCGCCGGCGCGGCCCGCGAGGTGTACGAGGAGACGGGGCTGCGGGTGTCACGGTTCCGGGCGCTGGTCGGGGTGGATGCGTGGGAGGTGGTGCGGGCGGATGGGGTCCGGAAGGTGGTCAAGTTTACGTTTTTGGTGGAGGTGGAGCCTCCCTCCGTAACGCGATCGGGGGGCGAGGGGGTGCAGGGGGGCCAGGTTGATGGTGGTGGAGTGGGCGGGATCCGGCTCGAGCCCGCCGAGCATGATGCGTTGGTGTGGGCGACGGAGGAGGAGGTGCGGGCGGGGGTGGTTTGGTTGCGCGGGGAGAGGGTGCGGATGGAGTTTGTGGGGAGGCAGCGGGAGAATTATCTTAGGGGGTTTGAGGTTTTGCGGTCTTTGCGGGGGGGTTTGTGAGTTGGTGGAATTTGGGAGGGGGGAGGGGTTGGGTAGTGAGTGATGGATGTTTGGATTTGTGAAGGGGATGGATGGTTGTAGGTGTGCTTGGTTTGAGGGGTGTGTTGGGATTACTATCTTTACCCTAAGCTGTGATGGAATGCTCGCCTAACGAGAAAATATAGGTCGATGCTTATTTGTACAGTTATTTGAATGAAGATTCAAACTATCTACTCGTTATGTTCATCGACTTCGTCATGTCCCCTTCCACAAGGGCAATCGCGGCCCAAGATCGGTTCCTCCCAGTCCTCACCGACCCAATAGTCCTCCAAATCGATGTCATACTCCACCCAATCGTGGACCTCCCATTCCTCCCACACCGTCGTATCCTGCACTAGTCACTCCGACCGAGTGGTGTTCGTCGTCTCGAACAGCACGCGCTTGTAGGTCGTCAACGGGATCGCGGCGTGGTCGGTGACCTCCAAGACGAGGTGGAGGGTCCAGCAGCCGGAGGCGTTGGAGCTCTTGCCGTCGCAAACCACATCCGCGCCGGGGATCGTGACCTGTGCGCGCTGTCCGTTCCCAGAAACTGTGAAGTTCAACGTCGGGATCTGGTTGTCCACATTCCAATCCGTCGAGCCGGGCTCCTTGTACTGGAACCACCGGAACGAGAGGCTGTCGCGGTCGGGATCGTAAGTCCCGGACGCATCCAGCGTCACGGTCGCATTGGGCGTCGAGGCGATGACCAGCGGGGTGAGGTCGGCATGCTCGTTGACCACGACCACGGGGTGGTGGTTGGCCTTACTCTCGTTGGCGGGGAGGGCCCACTGCATGCGGGCGGCAAAGTCATTCTGATACGCGTCTCTCCACCGCCAGATGGCCGCGTGGTTAGAGGTGTAGGTCCGGTTGTTCTGGCCGATGACCCGGTCGGCGGCGTCGCTGTACTGCCGGTACTTCACCTGCTGCGAGAGATCCACCAGGGAGTAGCGGCCGCCCCAGGATCCGTAGTCGGGCTGCTCGCGCACGCCCAGACCGTTCTGGATGAGATACAAGAACGTCGGGGTGTCCCCCTCCATGATGAACTTGTAGTCCGGGTACTCCTTGCCGTAGGTCCCGATCTGGATGTTCTTCTTCAGCCAGGCGGCGGACACCTTGGTGAAGTCCGGGCCACCGACGTCGAAGTTGTAGTATTCCTCGCCGGAGATGGCGGCCCAGGCGGCCAGGCCGTACTGGTTCCAGCCGTGCATGGAGGCGATGTAGAAGATGTCGGGGAACTGCTCGCGGATCCAGAGGCCGCTGTCATCCTGGTCGGAGATGGTGTAGACGCGCAGCTGGCCGCGGAGACGGGCCGCCTCGGTCGCGTTGAAGTTGTGCTGGACGTAGTACAGGGTCTCGGCAAGCACGTTCACCCCGCCCCACCCGAGGACCCACAGGGGTTCATCGACCGGTTGGCGGAGTCGGTTCAGCAGCAGCTCTGCGCCGGAACTGAGGTTTTGGCCGGGACCAACGCCTTGCATTCCGTAAACCTGGATTTGATTAGTGGGGTTCGTGTAACGACGGATGGAATGCTTACAGCTGGGCCGGACTTGACAACACTGTGGAGGTACTCCGCTGAGGGGTATGGGGAGGACGGTGAAGTGTGCTGGTTCAGGTTGTCCACCACCTCGGCATATGCATCGACCACTGCCGAGATCTGCTCGGGATACACACTGTCTTTCAGCCAGGTGGAAGTGACGGCCGTCATGCCTTCGATCTGGAACTGATTGCTGTAGAGCAGGAATCGCACAAAGGATTCTGTGTCATCGGGCTCATTGGAGATGTCCGAGAGAACGAAGACGCGGGGCTTGGACGCATAGGTCAGAAGCGAGGAGCGGTTAACAGCCGTAGTGGCGTCTGCCACAAGGGCATTGAGACAACCAAGCAGCAGCAGAGAGAGTCGTCTCATGATGATTGTGTATTCAAGAGATGTGACTTTGAAGAAGAAACAGCGATCAAAGTCGCGTTGAGAAGGTGGGAGCCAAGCCGATTTATATGGGAGTTGCGGGGACGACAGAGAACTAGTTCTTGGCAGTTGAGAAGGACAGATGGCGATGAGTCGAACTGATGATGTTATTGCCCGTTGTATAGGGCCACTGAGCCTGGGGTATCCACCGCCTTGCCGGATTCAGCGACGCCGCAGCCGAGCCGACCGACGGAGGGAGTTTTCGGCTCCAGCCCAGTCTCCGCACTCCGCAACTTCCCTCGTCTGCCTTGCCGTTTCTGCCGTTTCTGCCGGTTCTGCCCATTTTTCCCGACTCTTTCGGCTGGGTGTGGGCTAGTCCCCCCATAACAGGTAGTTCTAACCCCCAGCCAGCGGTTGCAATTACCCCATTAACTCGGCACAGCGAGAGCTCGGAGACGATTCTCCACGGGGTTCTTCCCACTCGTACGGGTATGACCCTGATTCCCCAACAATTTCGCTCTCCATAATTGCACTCATGCAAGGCAGGAAACTTCCTTCCATTTCCACAACAAAAGTTGGCTCCCCCCGTTACCGCCATGACGCGATGAGCCCCAGTACAGAATTCCCACAGAAACCACCAGCCACGGGTGCCCGTCACCGCAGACATTCTCTGCCTCGATCCGCAAAACCCGCGTCAGTGAAAGCGAGCTGTCTCCGGTCGGCGAGAAACGGCTTGTCGTGGGTTCCGCAACATAGCACCAAAAACTGCACCTCTCCCGTTGCAAGGCTCATCGAGGAGAACACAAGTGTACCTTTTCATCAGCACAGCCTGATTTTCCGCCGGTCCCAATGCCCAAGATTGAGTATGCCTTGGGCATCGAGCGCACCCTGGTCGTGCATCGTCAAGGTCATCGGTATCCCGAAGTCTCCCGCAACCACGCGAGATTTTCCGTCAAAGGCGTTCCGACAACACCGGTAGCGGAGAAGGCGGGCGGGACCCTACATAAGGTCGTACCTACGGCGGCGCGGGAGATGTATTCGTATTTCTACCCAGAATGGGAATAGATCATAAAGTCACTGATGGAACTCAAGGGGTGGCCTCAAATGCCTCGTGTCAGACGCTTGGCCATACATGGAAACAGTATTGGTCATGGGCCTTGGACCTCAGATTCGACAGAACGTGAGGTGAGGCCTGGCTGCAGAGCAGGGTGCTGTTATCACCACGGTAATGGTTGTCCTCGGTGGTGCCGAAACATCGGGTGAGGGTTTCTTGGCAAGCGTGTTATTCTTGGCAAGGTTGGTGAGACTGATCTCAATCTCTCCTGACTCTTGGAAATGGTGTTCTGTACCGGCTGCTCGTGTTGCACGGTTGTTTGGTGATCGGGATGTGGATGGATGCTCTAGGGGCCGAAGCGTACTTATAAGCTGAAAAGAAAGGGAAGAGGAAGAGGAGGAACGCTGAGCAAGGCTAGGGAAGGCGAGCTAGCCGAGGAACAGACTGCAAAGAAATCGTAGGTGCGAAAGAGATTAGATGATAGTAGAATGGTAGCAGCATGGCGGGCGGGTGTAGCGGTGCTGACAGTAGTTATACCTACCAACAGCAGCTTGCTGGTACTAATTAAGCCTGGAGACTTTCCGGTCTTTCCGTTTCAGAACGCAACCTTCCTGCATGGTTCGAGGGTCATCTCTGAGCCGGTTCCATTCAGGCAGGCTTGGCAGAGTGGACGGTCGGGCTCGGGGGTACAACGTCCTGTACGTGACAACTTGGGCATATATAACACACACTCCTGCATCTAAGTACTTAAAGTTGCCTCCCTTCTCTTGTCCACTCTGTTGTACAACTCTGAAACCATCCATTCACCTTTGATGACATCCGCACTCAAAACCATACTCAAAGACAGCCACTTAGACCTAAGTAGTGGTCCCTCCGTGTCCAAGCACTCTTTTATTTCCGTTGGGATGGGTCCATCCTTTAAGATCAGGTGCCTGAACCACGAAGTACATTTCACCCAGTTATAACACGATTGCTCACCAAGCACCATGCGCCCTCGGACCTGACTCATCGATGATAAGTTAGTCACGCAGTTTCTTCGGCCCTTGGGAGCGTCCGCGGTACTTCCCTCCAGCACGTGGCTCAAATAGGGGATGCCACCACATCATTGTATGGCACCGCACCATGGATCTGCAGAAAAACGTTGATCTTAGGCCGATGATCTCCCGACCCAGATGACTGAGACTTGAATACCATGCACATCCCCAGTCAATGACAACATTCATGATGTACCTGCAGTGTCCCTGTGTTGCTGTTCTATCATATTTTGCAGGTCTCTGTCGGAAACCAACCTAAGCACTAGAACCCCGGTCGCATCTGTCTCAGAAGGACTGGAGTCCCTGCACTAAGCCAAGGGTCTCGTTTTTGGGTTTCCAGCGGCCGGCTGTTTTTCGTCTCGGCTGAACTCCGGAGTTTCACGAACCCTACTGTTTCATGGTTCAGGGCTCGAACGTTGATCTCCGCCTCAAACTCAATTTAGGTTCTTTGAGTTCCATTCCCCTTCGATGAAGCGCCAATTTCTCCACACCCATCGGGAGACTGACCCGCTTTGAGTCTCGATCAGGGTCCGGACCCTGCCGCTTTGGTTTTCTCGTCCGTGCATCTGAAACAACTCCCTTCAACAGGGAACGCCTTTCACACTTCCGTCAGAAAATGTTTCACCACGTCCCAATTTTGCGACATCTTTGCTTTTGCGTGCCAAAGGGATGCGATGTGTCAGTATGATGGATAACAGCTGAACCACTTTCGCAATGCCGAGGTAGCCGGCCGTTGCTGCCTGGGAATGACAGTATATATCCATTCTGGTTCTCCCAGACTTTGGCGGGTGAAGCAGACGAGGAAGCAGAGCAATCCTATCATATTCACTCTTTCGTTACAGTTTATCGAAACACTCTTTCACTTACCATACTCTCGTTCAACCATAATTTGTATCTCATCGGAATAATGGCTCCTCTCAAGTCCCTCCTCGTTGGTGCCCTTGCTACGCTGGCCGTAGCAACCCCCGTCCCTGCCCCTGCCCCGGAGGCCGGCCAACTCCAAACCCGTCAGTTCATGGACTCGAATGATCTCACGTCCGGTTCCTGCAAGGACGTCACCTTGGTCTTCGCTCGTGGATCCACCGAGTTGGGCAACATGGTAAGTCGTTCTTCTTCCACCGCCCCTGTGTCATCTCAGATTATGGTTCCGCTCTCGCACGGTACTGACCCCCGAAACAGGGTTCCGTCATCGGACCTCCCCTCTGCACCGCCCTGAAGTCCAAGCTTGGCGCCGACAAGGTCGCCTGCCAGGGTGTCGGCGGCCTCTACACCGCCGGACTGATGCAGAATGCCCTGCCGCAGAACACCGACCCGGGGGCCATCTCCGCGGCCAAGAGCATCTTTGAGCAGGCGGCTTCCAAGTGTCCGAGCACGAAGATCGTGGCTGGTGGATACAGGTATGCATCTCCCCGGTTCTTGGCGATCTTCTGAGTCAAGACACGCACCCTCCTGCGAACCTAGAGTCCGACACGGCTAATATCCCCGGTCAACCAGTCAAGGAAGCGCCGTCATCGACAACGCGGTGCAGGCGGTCAGCTCCTCCGTGCGCGACCAGATCAAGGGCGTGGTGCTGTTCGGCTTCACCCGCAACGTCCAGGACCACGGCCAGATCCCCAACTACCCCAAGGACGATGTCAAGGTGTACTGCGCGATGGGCGATCTGGTCTGCGACGCGACGCTGATCGTGACGGCCGCGCATCTGACCTACGGGCTGGATGCCGGCGATGCGGCGAACTTCTTGGCGTCCAAGGTCAACGCTTGAGTGCTTTGTCGGGGTCACAACGATTAGGAACCATCGGTGAGCTCGGGTGGTGGTGGATGGAGGATGATTTACGGGCTTTTATATATGAATCTTTCTTTTCGGCTGTTTTATTTTCGTTGGCGATTTTCAGGCTTATCCGAGACAATTCGATGTATTGTCTCACGGGTATATTCTATATTTTTTCATCCTTCCGTCAAAACCCATGGTGATGTGTTTGGGCAGTAGATGTGGCGTTGTTACGATACTATGCTCCCGCGTGGAACATGTTAAATAGAGCAATCTAATGAGTGCAGCTTATTAATAGTTATATTTCGACCCAGATTTGTAACCTTTTGTTCCCGATCAAGAATCAAGTTACCTGCCGCCACTGTATACGGATTCGTCTCGTCACGGATTCGGAATACTGATATTGATAGATGCCTTTTCACCAAAACCAGAAAATTCTCCTTCTTTCAAACAGAGACTCATATATCCGACGGTAACTGTCATAGTATTTGATGAGGAAGATAGGTCTGTGCCGATAACTTGAGTAATCGCATTCTCTGGGCTTGTCCAGGCTCTCTCCGCAAAGAGCCGGAAATAACGCTCCGGAGCGGAGTTAAACTTCCGTGCCCGCGGCGCTTTGAGAACTCAGGCTGACACGAGGGTCCGTGGCTTTTGATTGGCCCCTTTAGCTCACCGCCCGTGGGTTTCCGCAATAGCACTCAGATGGATGCCCTAGGCTCCGATGCCAGGTGCCCACAGTGGTGTGTCCATGCGCGTCATCGTTCGAGAACATTTACGAGATCGTGAACCAACCCATGTATCCACGGGGAGCTCGTGCTTTTCAGCTGATCACCGGAGTCATACGATATTGTAGCCCAAATCAAGAGCCGCGAGGGCCCAAAAGAGATTAGCAGGTGCTGTAAAAGGGTATTGATCGGTTGATGGGCGATCGGCGGATGTAGGCCCCGCTCTGGAGATAAAGCGGAAGTACTACTGTAGATGAGTGTCATCAGCCAGCGACAGCACCTGTCTGTCCCAGGTCAACCCGCAACTGAATACGGCTCCGGGGGTGAGGCTGGACCTTGGAATGTCATCCGGGGTTATGTGGTCTAGTGGTTCTGAGACTGTGTGTTCTATGGTTGGGCACTGTACACTGTGGAGTTAAGCGGGAATAGAGGTGTCATCAACCAGGATCTCTAAAGCCCGGGTGGTCAACCATACATTTGGGTCTGCCCAAGCACGATATAAAATCGCACGCAGATTCCTGGCTTGAGGGTACTAAAATACCTCTTCTCCATACTCACATACTTCTCCTCATCAAAAGCCATCTACCTTCCAACAACCAATCTACCACACGTGACCGCAACCATGACCTCCAAATACGCCGCTGCCCACGCATCCCCCAACGGGCCAGGCGACGCCCGCCCCACGGCGCAGACCATCATCGACGACCAAGACCTCCGCGACCAGCTCACGGGCAAAACCATTCTGATCACGGGCTGCTCCTCGGGGATCGGCGTGGAGACCGCGCGCGCCCTGCACACGACGGGCGCGACGCTCTACCTGACGGTGCGCGACACCGCGAAAGCGACCAAGAACCTGGGCGACCTCGCCACCAGCCCCCGGGTGCATCTCCTGCACCTGGACCTCGACTCGCTGGACTCCGTGCGCGCCTGCGCGGCAGACCTGCAGTCGCGCACCAGGGCCCTGCACATCCTGATCGCGAACGCGGGCGTGATGGCGTGCCCCGAGGGCCGGACGGCGGACGGGCTCGAGGTGCAGTTCGGCAGCAACTACGTGGCCCACTTCCTGCTGTTCCAGCTGCTGAAGCCGCTGCTGCTGGCGTCGTCGACGCCCGCGTTCCACTCGCGCGTCGTCATGGTCTCGTCCGTGGGCCATCGGTTCGGCAACGTCCACCTCGACAATCTGAACTTGGAGGGCGGGGAGTACGAGCCCTGGAAGGCGTACGGGCAGAGCAAGACCGCTTTGATCTGGCTGGCCAATGAGATCGAGCGGCGGTACGGGGCCCAGGGCCTCCATGCTCTCAGTCTGCACCCCGGCGGCATCCAGACCGACCTGGCGCGCCACATGTCCGAGGACCAGATTGCGGCGTGGAATGCCGATCGCGAGCTCATGCGCCACTTCAAGAGTCCCGCCCAGGGCGCCGCCACGACCGTCGTGGCGGCTGTCGCGGCGGAGCTGGAGGGCCAGGGCGGGAAGTATCTGGATAATTGCCAGGTGGTGACGGATGAGCACGACCCGGCTAGCGGGAGGTGGGGCCCTGGGTATGCGTCCTGGGCGTTTGATGTGGAGGGACAGAAGAAGCTGTGGGAGAAGACTTTGGATATCCTTCAGCTGCAGGATGAGTGAGTGGTACGGTACTCGGGCTAATCATCGTGATTCGTTGATTGCTGTGGGGATTTGTTGTCGCACCAAAGACCGTCTTCGGATATGAGATATTGCTGTTTATGTTGGAAGCGGAAGCAAGTTACCGCAATTTGCTTGATATAGTATAGCGAAGATAATGTATAATCTAGTTGCCATTCTGAGTGTGACATCTTTCTTCTGGGGTTTGTAGCAGGAACTACGAAATGTGAATGGGTGCCATTATTCGAAAGATTTCGGCGTTTCAAAGCAACGGTTCCGCTCAGTTCCACTTAGCTTCAGTTAATACCTGTAGTTCATTCGGGCCAGTGTATATAAATTCCATCGAGATAAATACAAATACACATGTGGACGTTCTTGAACTATCAATTGCACGCAGGAAGAGTGCACAGTTCATTTCAGGAAGTGCACCACTGGGTCACAAATTGAGGTAATTCCTGAGGCTCAAGTTGATTCTATGCAGTGACGCAATATAATTCATGACAGCGCTTAGAAGATCTAGAACGGTGACTTGAGATCACTTGAGCTTAGTCACTCGCGTTGGTGTTGACAGCTAGTGTATGTGTAACTCAAAGCCGGCAATCTATGCATGAGCTGAGTGATATCGCCAGCCGCCAATCGGTAAGCCCGGGGTCCACGCGAGTACGACAGGTCGGATTGTCAGCAGCCTGCATCAGTGTTAACTCTATTCCAACAATATTCTCAGGTACTGTACTAAACCACTTAGATCAAGTTAGGAGGGGAGACAATATCATTAACTTGGTGGATGTCTCTTAGTGTGTGTCTCTTAAGCTTTCACCTTGGGGTACTAGGGGCCCGCACTTGCCCAGTATCTTTTGCGCCAGCCAAGTAACACCACACCACGTCTATTTGGTCCCTCGTCAACCCAACTTCCCCACCTCCCACCATGCGTCTGGCGCTCACATCCCCACGGCTATCTCGGCTGCCACGGCTGAGCTTAGCCACTGCTCCCCTTTCATGTGTTCGATATCTAAGCAAAATGGGTAAAAACGATCTGATCGAAGAGCAAACTTTACTGTACTACCATCAGAAGCGATACTATCCAGTCCGCATCGGTGACACCTTCAAGGATCAGTATCGGATCATCGCTAAGCCTGGCTACGGCGCATATTCCACCGTGTGGCTCGCTTGGGATGAAAGGTTTCTGGGCACGGAACCCCAGCATTGGCCCTTCATCGGCTAACGTGATCTTCCAGAAACAAACAGTATACTTCGCTGAAAGTCTGCATCGGCATCGAGCAGGCCGATAAGAAACCATCGCCTGTGCTGAATGAAGTCAGAATGCTGGAACGCGTGCAGAATGTCGCGGAGGCAGCTGACCACCCAGGCCTGTATTTCATCCGCCTCGCCACCAACATCTTCGAACTGCACTCCTCTTCCGGTCGGCATTATTGTATCGCGGCCAAGCCCCAGAGCCACAGCTTGCGCACGCTACAGACAACTTACCCAAACGCTAGGGTACCAAGACTCTTAGTACGGTCACTCGTGCATCGGCTGTTTTTTTCGATCAATTGGCTCCATGCCACCTGCGGCCTCATCCACACAGGTTCGATTGAAACTCCTCAACAGAGCAAGGATGTGCAACATACTCATTCCGGTCTATAGATATCTCCCCCCTAAATGTTCTAATGAAGATAGAGGACGATGCTAGTCTCAAGGACATTGAACAGCGTGAAGCTCGCGACCCCAGCATCCCTATCACCTGTGAATTCTCAGGCGCCCCTGTCTACCGCTCCCGCGAGCCCTTGCTAGAAGTGGGTGGCGCCCCGATACTTACGGATTTTGGTCACCTACGTGAGTTCGACTTTGACGGCCTCGTCAACAATGATTGGGTCATGCCTGATCTATACCGAGCCCCAGAGGTACTGCTGCAGATTCCGTGGACTTTGCAGGTGGATATGTGGTCTGTGGATGTGATGGTAAGTCGCACATGATGGAAATATGTCAGGCGAGGCACCTACATTTGCTAACCACCGTTTCAGATAGACTCTAGAACTGCTGGAGGGCAAGAATCTGTTCGACCCGATAGACCGTGTCAATCACCAATATGTTCTCCCATTGGCATTAGCGCAGTACATAGGGTACCTTGGGCTGCCACCGCTGCACATGCTCCAGGAGAGTCCGCTTTTCTCGACCCATTTCGATGAGAAAGGTGAGCAGTCTACTCTTCTTCACTCACCTTCTTCACTCACAATCCGCCACACGTGGCCCCACAGACGGAGACCAGGATAGCAATGGAACGTATCTAACAATGCGGCAGGCAATTGGATGTTGGCTGAGGCCCCCATTCCCCAAACGAGCCTGGAAGAATTTGTCACCTGCATTCCTCCTGGGGAGGAGAAGGACCAATTTCTCCGGTTCATCCGCAAGATGCTAGCTTGGGATCCAGAAGCAAGGGCGACCGCGAATGAGATGATTGACGACGACGAATGGCTCCAGAGGCCGTTCCACGATATGCTCGAAAGCACTTGCTGGTTTCACAAGCAATTTGTGCCTCGTTTCTCCGGTGAAACCACCTCACATGAGACTCAAGGAGGGGGCGAGGACAAGGATTGAGGTGGTTTAAAAAATGTACCTGATCAGCGCAGGCGATGGAAAGCTTTGCCGGGCCTTGCCGATGCCCCATCACGGCGGAGCTGCAGGGGTAATGCCATCCAAATTCTACATAGCCCGAACCATTTTTCTGTAAACTCTTTACATTAATCAAGTTCGAACTTACAAGTTTGCTCTTTCTCAGAATGTCTTAAGTAGACTCATTTCCTTCCTCCCCTTCCATCCACCCAACACAAAAAACCATAATAGCACCACCCACTCCGACCCACACCAGAAGGCCGGCAGCCACGCGACAATCAGCTTAGGCATCAGGTGCCCAGTCACACAGCTCACACAGATCCTCCTCTGGCCCCCGGTGCACCCGCCCACCTCCGCTGCCAAAAGGCTCGATGCGATGATGGGGCGCGGCCTCGGGTCATCCGCGCTGCTAGGCATCTGGGCCGTGGCATTAGCTGCCTGGGGCATCAATCTGACTGCATTCTCTTCCATACGTACAGAAAATCAATCCTTTATCTTTGGGCTCGTCGCAGCGAACGTCTCTCTGGCCTCTATACTGCTGACGCAGCTAAGTGCGCATAAGGTGGTTGTTAAAAGTCTAATACTACCGGCAGTGTTCGTTCTTGCAGTGTCAGCCTGACCACCGCCGCAGGCTCTATCCTTCCATTTTCTAGTACCGTGCCTACCTAATTGAATGTTGACTCAATTCTATCTATTAAACACCCTTGACTCAGTCCCCACTCCATCGGTCCAGTCAGTCCGCTCAAACCACCCATCTTTAACAACATTGAAATAACCAAAATATTCTTCCATCCCAAATCTGACTCTTTCCGCTATTCACTCACTCATCAGCCACCGATCCAAACACCTACCCAGAATGGCAGCAGTCTCCTCACCCGAGCAAGACATGATCCGCAGCTACGTGACAATCAGCCTGCTCATCATGAGTCTCACGATGCGTCTCGCGCAGCTCCTCCACACCCACGCCACAGTCGGTCTCGATGTGCCGCTTGTGCTACTTCCCGCATTGTCCTTGCTCGTTGCATGGATCGGATCCTTGACAGTCTTCGGTGGCAATCTAGCTCCACTCTCCAGCCCGACCAGAAGTCGATCGCTTATTCTTGCGCTCGCGGCGGCGGACCTCGCGCTGGCCTACTTGAACGCCCTACAGCCTAATGCGTCGGCGCTGACCTATATCACCTGCATTGTGTCGTTGTTTCAGTTGGGGCTGGACTTGGGGCTGTTCCTTTGGACAAGGGACTGAAATTGTACCGGCGGGTGGACTGTATGCGGTGAGAGGGGTTGCCCTTGGCGCTTATATACTGAACGGAGTTTTGCTTTGCTTCTACATATACCCTAAAATGAGGAAGTGTTTCAAGGGCGCGTGGGAGCAACTTAGCTAGGCCGGATGAATTTATGGAGGAAGTTTTTGAATCAGAGAATATCTTCGTCTGGTGGTGTATGTTCATTCTTATCTCTTTTTGTCTGTTTCCTATTCCACTTTCTCCAAGCGTCAAGAACCCTTAAGAATAGGTTAGTCTAGGTGGCCTTGCTATTAGTGTTATGGTCCATTCTGTACAAACAACCAACCCAAAATGCCAGGCATCTGTCGAGCCATACACCTTCATAGAACTATTGCGTCCTACCGACCTCACAACCCCCCTTGACCAACGGGACCACCTCCTCCGCCACCCCCAGCCCCGCCACGCGCGACCCATCCTTCGTCCGCATCTCCCCGAACATCACCTCAAACTCCCTCAGTTCATCCGGCACATTTCCCGGCCCCCCAAGCACCCCCGCATTGCCAGAACATCTAACCCCTCACTCCCGCGCGTCGCACACAGCGTCTGGAACAAGTCCGTCGTGCTCGCCGAGATGCCGTTCCGCACGAGCGCGTGGCCGCCCAGCCATGGCCAACGCAACGAAGTACGGGGTGAACAGACCCGCCGGGTGGGGGAAGCGGTGGACGTTGACGGTGATGGTGTTGGTGGCGGTGGTCGTAGTCGTGGTCTGGTGGAGGGTGAGCAGCGAGAGGGTGATGTTTTGTAGTAGCGACTGCAGGGCGGCCGGGGTGAAAGTGAAGACGGGCTGCTTGGCGGGGCCGCGGTAGAGGCTCGTCAGGGCGATGAGGGTGTTGGCCGTTGGTTGGGAGTGTAGCACTGTTTCTCTCCGGTATCCAGTCAGTAATCGATACTATCCAGAAAGGCATCACCGATTCACAGCAGCAGTGGGAGGGTCGCACCGAAAAGATCAATATACCCCGCCAACTCCAGCACCAGCGTATCCTGCACCGCTGCCAGATTCGCCCGCCGATACAACTTCGTCACATTCTGGCCCGTGGTTCCGGTTGTCGTGGCGTTGGACACGGCGAAACGGTCGTATGACGCCGGCACCATGGCGAAGTCATCGTAGAGGCCTGAGCTGTTCAGTGTGCCGCCATTCGAGGTTACTGTTGCTACTGTCGCCTACTGCACGCCCCCCGTGTACTTCAGGTGCACCGTGTAGACGGCCTCGTGCGCGTGACACGAGATGCTCTGTTACGTGCCTCCCGTTGTGGGGTCCATCCAGCGCAGCGCGAAGTCGAATGTGTATTTGGTGCTCTTCGTGCGCGCACGGTAGTCCGGTGAGGCGAGGTAAAAGTAGGCGTTTGTCCATGTTGGGCTCTGCTTGTAGATTTTGTTGACCCAGGTCTATAGGTCCGGGGTGTCAGTGGATGTGCATGCAAGGCGGGGGCTTGGGATTTGGATTGTGTATGAGCAGTTTGAGGAGCAGGGGGAGCTGCTGCGCAGGTAGTCGCCTGCCATCATGCAATGTCGCGCGAGGCGGGTGTGGGGCGAGGCAAGTTAGAGAGAATGAAAATGGGGAAGGAGTCGACGACCTGGCGAAGGGTCGAATAAGCGTGCATGGGGCTTGAAAACCAAGCCAGCCGACACGAAGCCCGCAGACGCTAGAAACCAATTCGTTGGGGCAACCAACCGGTGCGCGACTGAAGCATATTTGAGGCAGATGAGCAAGCCTTCCTTCCAATCTCCTGTTGATCGTATGTGCCTTTTTTTGCAAGACAGCTATGCGGCTGTATAGGGTCCATTCTCGAACCGAGCAATCCAATTGAATCATCGCTTTTCTACGGGACGTTTAAATATGGATCTCTGCAGGGCATGGTTGCTGACAACGCACGCTATAATTGGCATAATGCAGATAAAGGCTGCGAAAGGGGGGCTGAGTTGAAGTGTGCGGATCCACCCATACTGTCACCGCCTATCTGCGGGTATCGTGAAGAGCACAGCCAGCCAATAGAATGAATATGCTCAGATGACAGACTTGAACGTTCCTGCAGGATCGGAGGCTGAAAGTGGGGACGGATTTACAAGGAGGATTTCCGTGGGTTCTATACCAAGCTGCACGCTAGTCTGAATAAGGGAAGCCATGTGTGAAGAAGAATATCAAGACCTCATCGAGACTCTCGACGATACAAGGACTTTTCGCCTATAAGGCCGTCGATTCCTCCCCTCAACTGTTCAGATCGAACTCACAGCGCAGCAACAGCAGCAGCAAGCCCAACTTCCTCAGCAATCAAGAAAGCAACCATTCTCAAACCCTCAAATCCAATCCATCAAGGTAGACCCCTCATATTTTCGTCCTTCTCCCATTCCACAAGCACAAAGACCTAACTGAACACAATACAGCAGCAAAATGATGTCCCCCAGCACCATTGCCTTCCTCTTCTCCACCGCGCTCGCCGTGCTTACCCCCCTCGCCGCCGCCAAACGCTGCTACAGCGGCGGAGAATCGTACCGCTCTGTCGCCACCGGCCACGAAATTCTCGAGGAGGCGGTGAATGCCTGCGACATCCTCGAGGGGATCTACGTCTCTGGCGCCAGCCGTCCTCACTGCAGCAACCTCCAGTCGGGCAACCGCGTCAACTGGGAGGTGACCAACGAATCCGGCTCGAAGGCCATTCTTTCCTCAATCGACTGCGTCGCTGCCTTGAGAACCGAGATTGAGGCCTGCCCGCGCGGTAGTCTGCAGAATTACGGTCCCTTCTTGTTTAAATACGACCCCAACGCGGGCGCTTGCTAGAGGGCTGGCTGAGTTATGCATCAGAGCGAAGCGGATCGTGTTCGGGCGGATGTAAATTGTCGATGCGGTGCATGGGTGGTGATGGCCTAGTGGATGGCGAAGATGAGGCGATTGGGTTGATGAGTTGATGACAGAGAGGAGATGGATGTGTTTACATGTATGCACTTGACATCATTCTTGCACGGTCTCATTGTGAGTTTGACCTTTTGTTTCTCTGCTTGGGACTCTCAAGCCGAACTCAACATGGATGCTTTTTTCTGCCATTTCTGTGTTTCTAAGACCGTAAATCCCGCCAATGTGATCTGCCCTAAATCCACGGTCCACCTCTAATCCTGTGCCTTTTACGCTGCACACGCTGCTAAGCCTGAGCCAAAAGTCGAAATTTCTGTTGATGTTCATGGCTTTCATACCTCATCAACTTCTACATAATAGGAGGCCGTGCTATGTCTGGGATACAATATTGCTGCACTGGCATGCCTTCGCCTCTCGACTGTAACCGACAGCAACCAGCTTTGATAAAAGTCTCTCCTCTAGCTGAAGAAGCTGCATAAGCAAGACAACCACGGTACAATGACATAGCTATCCATAGGCCTCATGCACTCGTCCCTTGAGACCATGATCTCGTCCCTCCCAAGCTTGTGCTGTCTACCGCTCCTTAGGCCAGCTTGGTGGGCGACCAAGGGTTGCCTTTACTTCAATGTAGGTTCACAGCGCCATACTTTAGCCGGATAAAGAATAAGTATATGTGCCTCTACTCGCCTTCCATAATCTTTGGCCAGGCTAGACTTTAACAGCAATGCATTCGAGACTGGCAAAATAGCAGGTAGGTTCAATCTAATACCAAGCTAGCCTGATCCATCTTCCCCCTATCAAGAGCTCGTCCTCTGCTCGACTCGGACAAGAAGCGGCGCCCGTCTCCATACCTCCCATGCTTTCTGGCCGGATAACCACTCGTCAACATCGAGCTCGGAGCTGATGTCGAAATGCCAGAGAAGGCTGCACATCAACAGCCGCAACGTGTAATATGTCATACTTCGGCCCCAGGTCAAGTCAACATGGGATCAATTATCAATGTGGCCATTGCGAAAGGAGAGCGTGAGATAGAAGAAATATGAAAAGACACTCACTCTTGTCCAATACAGGACCTCTTTCCGACGGAGAAAGGCTGCAGCGCGGCTCGACAATCACCGGCATACGATCCGTGCGGATCCTCAAGCCACCTATCTGGCTCAAATCGATCCGCGTTGTGGAAATACTCGCTCGCATTCGACGTGGCGTACATAGATACATACACCCGAGTGCCGCCTGGAACCCACCGACCGGCGACGCGGATGCCTCCGGGGCCGACAACGCGAGGCAGGATCTCTGGCACCGGATTGTATCTCCGAAAGGCTTCTTTAATGCACGCATCCAGGTATTTCAGGTTGCGGACGTCGGCGATCGAGATGCAACTCGGATCGGAGATTTTCGAGCGCACCTCGGCCGTCAGGCGCTGAAGGACGTCGTGGTGGCGCAGGAGGTCCGCGACAAGACTACTCAGAAGGCAAGAGATGGTCTCCGTGCCGGCGAGCATCAGTATAGGGGTATTCAGCGTCACCTCCTCCTCCGATATACGGTCCGCCTTCGGGAGGGACGTGGCGAAAGCCACCAGGTCGGGATCATGGACGTCTTTGTGGAGGCGTTGACGCATGAGCCTGTTCGCGAAATCAAAGTATCTCTTTCTTGGCTTCTGGATAGCCGCACGGAGAAGCCATTGGTATATGCCCTTGACGATCGGAAATTCAGTGAGCGCAGCCGCGGTCACCGAAGCGCGAATCCAACCTGGCTGGCCCCTCGCCCAGTCAATGCAGCCAGACTTTTCGAGCAGTTGGAGGGATTGGCCAAAGAGAAGATGACCCATCACGTCGAATACCGTGAAGCTGAACAGTTCAGCAATGTCAAATGCATTCTGCTCCGTTGTTTCGAGTCGCCGAACCAAAAGAGCGGAATACTTATTGAAGAGTGGCTCAAAGGCTGTTAGATTCTGTCTCGCAAAGAATTGTGCGAAACCCCGCCGGAATCGGGCATGAGTGTCTTCGTCCGCGGTCAGGATCGTGGCTTTGTCATTCTCGAATGCGGCGAACACGATATCATCATTGAGTAAGTGTCCATTCGCATTAGCACTCCCGTAGATGTCTCTCACGGCTTCGTGCTTCATGTAGCTCAGCTCATTCGGCGCCACCCGGACAACGGGTCCGTATCGCTGGTGTAGGTTTTGCAGCCAGACGGACTTCTGCCCGGTGATGGTGACATAGGTGATGCGGGCTCGGCTGGCAGCGGCCGTTGTAGGCCCGGGGTAAGCCTTCAGTGGGTGCCAAAGTACGTTGTAGAGCAATTGGAGAATGACCAGCTTTCAGGATTAGAATGAGCACCAGTTTATTAAGGTTGTGGGGTTATTGCCATACAATTCCCAGAGCCAGTAGAACAGTTAGGATCATACTTATTAGGGGTGTGATGGCAGCCGCTGAGACGGATGCCCTGCGTTAGCTGCAAATGATTGATCGGATGTGGAAGATAATAGTAAGAGCAGGAAAGTCTCGTCTGAGAATATCACTGAAACTAAACGGTAGTGAGCAGATCAACAAGTCGCTGGCCCACATATAAGACAATTGATGACAAGGGCTCTGCTAGATGCGTAGAGGGGACTAGCTCTGACAGGGTATTGGTCACACTTGCAAAGAGATACTCTGTTTCTCTGAACCCACGCGAAGTGTAGATGGTCTAAGAACCCACATTGACTTCTGAGAAGGCTGGCAGCTGCAGTATGATGTCAGTGGAATGCCAGAGAATGTAAGGAATAAACAGATGAAGTTCGTCACAAGACTATTCACCATAGACAAATTACAATGAGACTGAGAAGAGAATACACAAGCACTCACATTATGCAGCTGGCTGCTGCGCACGAATCAAAAAAGTAATCTCTGAGAGTAGTTGTAGTCGGGGGACATCTCCGAATTCAGGTTTTGTTTCATGACAGAATAGCGGTGACAAGAATCATCGATGAAAATCATAGGGTCCGATTTGTCCTGCAAACACATCGAGTATTCTTGCTATGTTGTTACACAAGGATTTTCATAGGCTGTGCTTATCCAAAAATGGAAGCAAGTTACGTTACTGCCTTCCATGGTTCTCGGTAAATAGTTATACATCTTTGGCATACCAGGTTAAGCAGATCACCGGGCAAGCACTTTCTGATAGTTCACTACCTTGAACTCAATGCTTACAAGCATCAGCCAGTCCCAAGCGACTAGTTTCTCCTGTTATGTGAAAGCTAGAGACTCCAAGGATCTGCGTGAACTTTTTACAGACTATGCATGCAAGGAGTCAGCGGGTACATGAGCGGAAGAGGTCCTTAGATAGGCCGGATTGTGAACTCAGTTGGATGGCAGTATACTAGCTGCAGGAATATCCGGAAATGTGCAAATGTGAAAAGCTCCAGCATCACCATGGTACCATCTATAAATGATTCCGCGTTCGTCTTACTACTCCGGTACTTTGATTTCAAGATGTCTATCGTCGAACAGAGACCCGGATCTTCCTTTCCCGGTTGCCCTGATACCAGACCCTTCAAAAGATGAGCAGCAATATGAGAATCGATATCCCCTTTAGACTTGCCACCAACGCAGATTTGGTTCGGGCAAAGGCAAATCATTCACAATGGGTTGAAACTTCAGGGCTACTCGGCGATTCAGCAACCCAGAAAGCGTACGAGGCTGCAGACTTTCCTCTTTTGGTGGCCTACACGTGCCCATCAGTTTACGGACCTCACCTGGATCTGATAATGAATCTAATTGGCTGGTCCTTTTTACTGGACGACTCACTCGACAGACCAGGCATTCGACAAGCCTCTCCGACGGCCACTGAACATACCTTGAACACTTATCGCAAGATACTAGATGGGAACCGTGCCGAGCCATCCGCGGATCCTCTGGTGACAGCTTGGAAGAGTCTTCTGCCGTGTGTCCATCAACGTTCGTCCGAGGCCCTGAAGGCCCGGCACCGCAGGCATTGGGAAGACTTGTTCGACGCCTTCCACCGTGAAGCGAAGAACAATGCCGGCGGTATAGTCCCCACCTTCCCGGAGTATCTGGAGCTGCGGCGAGCCGCAGCAGGGGTGGAGATTTGCCTGGACTGGGCGGAGGCAGTTGGCGGCTTTGAGGTTCCCAACAGCGTGCACAGCAGCCCGGACTTCCTTCGTCTCCGAGAATATACCGACGATGTGGTTACGATGACGAATGACATTTTCTCGGTCCAGAAGGAAGCGCAGGCCGGCAACACCGACAATGCGGTGCTGGTACTTTCCCTGCAAGAGCAATGTTCCTGGGAACGGGCCACAGAGCTCACCCAGATGCTGATCGAACAGGATGTGGCTCAATACCAGACCACAGAGGCTCGGTTCCTGGGAAGTGAGTGCTTTGCCCAACTCGCTCTGCACGAGCAGTCGAATGTGCACCGGTTCCTGGATGCAATGAAGCATTGGATGCGCGGCAGTCTCGAATGGCATCGGAGCAATCCTCGGTACAATTGAGGGTTCTCCTCCTGCAGTTTACCACAGTGCGCACAACCTCGTATCCCTATATACATGCATTTTCATATGGATGAATAAATGTAAGTATATCCCTGCAAGTATGATTACGCATACGGCAAGTAACTTTTGAGGAATGCCAATAGACCGAATCAGGCAAAGAAAGGCTATCATAGAATACAGACGGGTTTGCCAGATAGCTGGGGACATGTATCGTAGTCGTGATAAGACTATGCTGTCTTCGGACCCCGCAATGGTTTTTACTGTATTTCTGCCAGAGACTGAAAATAGAATAGGATATAATTTGCATCGCATCCTAGAAGAATCTGCCTCCGGATATTTTCTAGTTACCTTAGCTTTTTCTCACACTACTGTTCCCTCAGATACCCAATCGTACGACCAACTAAACTCGAATCTAAAACACTACATGCCTTCAGGAAATATCTATTTGAATCCAGGCGCTCACCCAATTTTCATGCCATGAAGTATCGTTCCATATCTTTGATATACTACAGGGAAATGTGATGGGTCTATTCAGTACCAAGATCAGCCAAAGTATGTCATGTGACCATTGATCACTATAGGAGTCGTAATTTCCTACGGCCCCGCCAGTTATCAAAGGGCTGCCGTTCTATGCTTGACACCATGACAATTTGCATTGGCAAGAGGCGTCCTGAAGCAAGGAATACTGTTTCCGCCACTTGCCCCGGCATGACATTCTTGGAAGGCCGACCGCCGATGGCATTGCGGACGAACCGAGCCGCAGAAAATTACCTTCGGCCTGTGGAGCTCAGTAGGTATGTAAAGGATTCTATGTACTTCGCTATCGCATTCCCTGGTGAAGAGACTTTGGAGTGATCGGCATTTTGGCGGCAAGCCTGGAGGTACAGGTGTGACAGTCAAGAGCAGAAACCCCTTGAGGGATTGCGGGGTCTGAACTAAGGACGACTCACAAACACCTCCACCCACATCCACCAGAGTCGCGGCGCCAAGTGACGCCCATGAAAGTCGAAGGAAGTGGCACAGTTGTTGGCGTGGACAGTGCCGTACAGGAAAGGTATGATGAGGGTGATTTAGTTTCAACTCCAAGATTCATGTCCGGAGTTTCCATGCAGTCGCATCCAACCCAGTCACGTTTTGACCAAAGCGGTAGACTGGATGCCGTGCTTGTAAAGTAGGCAGTTGTCATGAGAGTGCTGCTAATTCTGTGCTTATAGAGTAATATATTTGAGGATTCGCTGTGCAATAACCAGAAATCTCCCCCCAACCCAATTCGCAAGCTCAGAGTAGCCTCCCCCCAGCCTCGGGGCTCTCCTGCACCTCAGCATCCACACCATTCCCGGCACCACCCAAGTGTGAGAAGCAATGCACCCTGTATCCGAAAGGGTCAACGCCAACCTGGGGTGCACCTTCTTTGAGGTCTACAGGGCTCCACAAGGTCCGAGAGCCTTTTCTTGGGTCGAGAGCTGGTAGTGTGCGACCGCGGCACAGCAAGCGAAAAGGTTTCCCCTGTTCCGCTCGGCCTTGAATTCATGTACTCAGGACGACACGCTTCACGGGGTGAGGCCTCCTCAGATCTCTTGATGCCCCAGACACTGACACCTGCTGCTAAAATAGCTGCAAAGGAACGCCTCAGCCTGGTTTACCACCTGTCGTAGAGATCCGGGGGAAGCATAGCAGCACGCTCGGCGTGGGAGATCACTAGCTGATTGCGCCGCGAATAATATTCCAGCGTGGCTTGCTGACCACTCGTGGGAATAGACGCAATTATCCATCTCAGCAAAGCTGCTAGCCGCTGGAGGTCGTCCTGATAATTCTGCTCCCATTTTCGGATCTCAGATTCTAGATCTTTCGGCTGACACCGTTCAAACCAGCCGTCTCGTATGTAGTAGGCACAAGCCAGTTGAGACGTCTGCGACACCCACATTTGAGGTAGGACCTGCTGCAGATCCACAGGCTCTCGTCTGGCCTTGGTCTTGATCTCCAGTATGGACTGCGTTGGAACGGTTTGGCCTCCTGCGCAGATTCTTAACGCCGAATATGGAGAAATCGCCGTCGGGGGATCTAAGATACTCGGGCTGCTCCGCCCCATCGCTGAATCCACGCCTTCACCCGATGAGATGTATCCGTCCGTCTCATACCGCACCAAACACGACAGTCCCGCAAAGTCATAGGACACGATTCGGTAGTGGCCCGTACTGTCTGGGATTCGACGGCTAGTAGCTGCGTTCTCGAACTCATGGCCAAACCCACGAAATTGCTGGCGAGGTATGAAATCCCGGGTCCATATCTCTTGGCGACAGAGAAGCATGGTCCTCCCCTGTCGTTCAATTTGAATGGTGAAATCCTCCAGGCGACTCCTGTTGTGTCTCGGGTTGATGAATGTCAACAGCTTCCGGATGTTGTTGCGGTCCGTCACAATGTCGACTGCGCCGATGTCGAAGGCGGGACGAGTGAAGTATAAGCTGCGGAAGAGAGGCTCCATCGGGCTGGCCGGGTGACGCGCTGCATTCTGCGCGATGTACAGCAGCCCTGAGTCCTTGGGCACTTTCAAAAGTTTTTTCCCTCGTCTCTTCTGGGTGGGCCACCGTGGACTCCACAGATTAGGACTGCCGGGGATAGCAATCGTAGGGTGATCGGATTCAATCCAATTATAGGATGCTAGGTGTTGCACCTGGCTGATGGTTGCTGCGGCCTCAAAATCTGGCCGCAGCTCGTTTGTGAACAACGTGGAGATAATAGTGGGTTGCATTGCAGCTTTGTGCTGCTGGTATCGCAGTTATTGGCAGGGAAATAATCAGATAAGGAGAACGAAGTAAAATGTTGAGTGGTATGGTATGTATAACTAAGGGACAGACGCAGCATATATAGGGCTGTTCAGATGCTCCGCAGCTGGGCATATCTTGACCTGTCTCAGGGACCTTCCCTTAAGCGCTCAGATAAACCCAGCATAGCATCATCCCCCATAAAAGTTTCACTTGCCCCCTCCCTACCTTTTCCCCTCAAACGGTGCACGCCACCGTTGATGGGTCTTCAATATACTCGGCGATGAGCGAACCATGAAGTTAGCCTTGCATGCGGCGCAGCTCCAGACATTGGATATGCCAGCTTGACGCAGGCACGCTGTGCCACCGCAGCGGCTACTGATTTCGAATGATAGGATACGAATGATCTATTTCCAAGCGCCGGAGCCAACTGCAAGGGAGGTCATACTAAGCCAATCAGCATTATGTGCCCGCGACTACTGCCGATGCCTTAGTCCTTGCGGAGCCAATCGGCAATCCCGAGGTGCTAACGAAGGCGTTCTAGCCTCAACACGCCCGCTGGTCTAGTATGACGCAGTCTTTAGATTCGAGTAGCTTGCTCTCAAGGCACTTCAAATCTCTGTTTGGGAATGCATGTGAGCCTTTCGACGCTCCATTCTATTCCAAAAAGTGCCCACCATTCTGACCAGAATAGCTCCGAAGGCTGTTTCAAGCAGTAGTGATGGCGCATTCAGCGGGACGGCGGAGCTCAGTCAAAGTCAATCTTGGAGACTGTTGTGTTACTCGTCCTGGTTTTCTAACGACATCGGTAAATCTCATGCTTGGAAGAGTGCACATGAAAGCCTGGGTCCATCACTGTACCTCCGGTGGCTTGCCTTTTGATCCCCCAAAGATTATTATCAAGTTCTACTCCACGTCGAATGTATTGAGGGAATACGCTCGCCAAATCATCTACCATTCAGCACCGGTACAGGCTTGGAAACCCATCGGTGTGTCAGGCAATGGTATGTTTACTTGCATGAATGTCTCGTCGACCTCATGTTTAAACGCGCAAGCGTGGAAGACAATGACCAACAAGAGCCGGTTAACTGACTCGGAGGGTAGCATTTCTGGCATACAGCGAGTTTCAAGACGGCTCTACCATATTGATAATATTCATCGATGTTGCCAGCTTACCCAGCAGTTTTTCCTACTACAGTGGATCGACCTGGGAACAATATGTGCTGCGGTCGTTGATTGCAAAGCATGTGATTGACACAGCATGCTTGACATTTCAGTTCTACCAACCTATCTGACGCCCAACGCTGTGCCACATTTCTTTCCGAATGAAATGATGTACACACATCATTGGCACGAGTTGCATCTAGTACAGCGCCACCAGGCAGACGAGCAGGGTTCGTGCCGCGCCGCGCTGCGCCACCATGAACCCCGCCTCCCCGAAGGGTGTGACTGTATGCGAACCAGTTTACCTATCTCTCGCTCAGATGCACCGTCGCCTCACTTTTTATTGTTCGATTCCCACTCGGCCAGCCTTGCGCAATGATCCCCGAACCGGACGGGTCACTCTGCACTAGCCGTCTTTGATGACCTGCCATAAATTCGCCATGTACAGATAGATACATATCTCGACTACCGCGGCCGTTCCAGAGATTCCAAGTCCAGATCTCCCACTATAATTCATTGTGCAGAACACAGACCGCTACTATCAATTTAGAGTGCTCGTCAGACAGCCCACTTCGAACCGGACTTCGATCATGCCCGAGCCAGACCGAGCCTCCGCCTTCATGAACACAGCGTTAAATGTGTCCTCCTCCGGGAGTAAGCCCCGAGGCTTGAAAGAGAAGCCTGCCAAAAGATCGCGGCCCCAGAAGCCATGGTCCATGTATCCCACGCTGCATGAACAGGTGCAGGCGCTCCTCGACGACAAGGGTCTGCATTTCACATTCCATACCCGCGATGAAGACGTGGGCGTCGTCCAGCACTATGACACCAGGGTCATGGGGCGGTTTGTCTGCCGCAATGCTTCCTGTCAGGCCGGAGGGTGGTCCAGCAAGATCATCGCCATCACGGTCCGCATGTACTCGCCACGCGAGTACAACGCGCGCGTCTATCACCAACACTGTCGGGGCTGCGGTTCCATCAGCCGACCCGTCCTCGATGAGTCCTGCTACGCAGAACGGATCGCCTATCGACTCCAGAAGTGGAGTGGCATTCGGCAGCCGAAGCCCGAGTACTTCCACGGCCATTCCCGGCGTCCGCACAGTCGCGGCTTGTGCGAGGGCTGCAAGGCCGGTCACTGCATATATGGGGCACAAAGTCAGGATGATGAAGATGTGGATGACTTGTGTACATCGATGGCGAAAATCCTGTAGGCCAATCTGGCCATGCGAGGAAGTAGTGGGGTCGAGGTTTGTCGGCCGTGTGGTCTATGTTGTTTCCCGTCAGGCTAGCTTGGTGGACTTGGACGTCCCCATGGCTAGTGCAGTCTGACAGACAGATGTTAGGCTGAATGAAGGCATCGACTGGGATTGCGAATTTGCTCCCAAAGAGTGTGATCTAATCGCTTGAGTGGACTGGTTTGCAATCTCAACGGCTCTAATCTCTACTCTAATCCATTTCAAATAAGCTCGAGCGGTAGACTTTGATTCTCCTGGCAGTAACATTTATGTACTAAAGAGGTTTATTGCAACGAATAGAATGTAGTTGGGTCGATACGGTCGTTTGGACTCTGTCACGGTAAGATTGCTTTTCCCTTTACAAATGCAGGATAAACTCTTCGATTCCATGCCCTTAAATGACAGGTGCGCGACACACTGCCCCCACTTACACGAGACAGTCGGATCCTATGATCTGACAGACTGAATCTTCTCAATGAAATTTGCAAAGGCGTCTTGAATGGAAGCAAAGCGGGTCAATCTGTCTGTTCGACTCATATCCAAAAAGCCACGGACACGGCCCGCCAATTCGATCCACAGTAGTAGGGCAGGGCTAACATGAGCTTTCTGGGGCTAGGCAGACTTCGGGGGTGATCAAACTACCGGCAGGTTGCTGGCGCGTCTGCTTCACTATATCGGAATTGCTACGGTTGAGTGGGCGAAGCGAGTGGGTTCCGACAGGAGGAGGCGAGGCATTTCTCCCGACTTCCTACTCATCCCAAGACGAGGGTGTGTGGGCGCCATCTGGTGGCACAAGGATAAGGGCCCTTATGGCAGACAACACGTTGCATGAAGTCTGCCCAACCGCCTCGTTCTTTTAATGAGTGGCGTCTGGCAGACTGTTGGCGGGAAATTAATGACTCGCATCCCTGCAAGGGAGGGGTGCTCGGACGCCTGGTGATTGGGCACCACACTCCCGGTAACCATACGCACCATGACACAACTTCAGTACTTCTCCGGGGTGTGGTAGAGGCAGGTTGAGGGGTCTCGAGACCATTGCAATACCCGCGACTCGATATAAGAATGACGGGAGAACAGTCAAGGCAAAGCCTGAATATCGATGCACCATCGACATTGAGTCACCGTGTTCTCCTTCGAAAGGAATCAGTCGAGCCTTCACTGCAAGCAATGTCTTCCATAACCTCAATCGACCCATCAGCAACATCTGAGGTCCTGGGCCTCGACCCCCACGCCATTCTTGCCTTTTTTGCCCGACTCAAGGATCTCACTCCGTCAGATGGATTCAACATGGTTCAGGCTGTGGCTATAGAAAGAAACGGGCTAGTGAATGAACTGACACATTGGCAAAAGAATGTTGTGGATCTTGAGAAAGTTAATCACGACAAGGAGACAACCATCCGTGGCATGTTCGAGACGTTTTCGAACGAGAAACAATCCCACGAACACACACAGAGACAAGTGAAAGAGCTTGAAAAGACGATTGAACAGCTCAGGGCGGAGGCGTCAAGGCTGAAAGATAGTCTGTCCACCGCTAAGGCGCAGGCTAGAGCCCTCGAGGAGGAGAATTCGAAGCTTCAGCGATCGATGAACGACACTCGCACTAGGTTGATCACAATTGAAGGCTTTTCTGCAGGACATATTGAAGGCGACGAAAATTCTCTGTGAGCGATGCCTGCATCGGTAGTCTCAGCCAGAATATACTGATTAATTCAACAGGATCGATGGGTTCACTGCTCTCTGGGGATTCGCCAAGACAGAGCTGCGCCCGCTGCTGAATATTGATCTCTCCACAGAAGCTGTCTCGGTATGTTCCAGAATTCGAATGTCGAGGTAGAGGTTGCTAAGAAATTACTTCAAGAACGATGCACTGTGGGAAAATCTGAGACGCTGCGAGCTCGTTCAGAATCATCAGATCCCCATCCCCTGTTCCAATACCCTGCCAGCGCAACACATCCGTTTGGCAACCATTCTCGCTCTTCTCGCGCGGGAGATTGACAAATACATATTCCAGCCATGCTATATCATCCCGGAGGAGACGCATATCCGTCAGGTTCTTTTTGAGCTTGCCGTGACAGACAGCGCAAAGGAATCCTTTTGCCGGTCTTTGCTACAGTCCATCAACACACCAGATCAGAAAAAGAATCTCTCGAAGATGATTCAGACCGTTGTCAAAAGCGTACTCTCATACCTGGAGGGGTCAGTCCCAGAGACTCATCTTGCATCCATGCGTACGGCCTTGGAGAGGATTGTGAGCAGGGCAGCTGATGTTTGGGACCCGATACGTCGCGCGAAGCGCAGATACGAGCTGGATTTTGACCAACCGGGAGTTGACGAGACGTGGCTTCCATTCACTGTAGACGAGCCCAAGCAGCCCAAGCCAGAAATGGGACGGCCGCTCCAGGAGGAACCTGCTCTCACCATCTTTCCGCGCCTTTCAGTCATCGAAAAGGGAACCATCACGACACATACAGTTGTCATCCAGCTGAGCAAATCATCATCCATCTTGCGCGAGGCTTTAAGTGAAATATCAAAGACACGGCAAAGTTCTGGTTTGATCCGACTCAAGGGCAGAAGTTTGCTGAGCAAATCATCCAGCTCCAGTAGTCCAACCCAGTCAAATGGGCAGACTATCGGTGCCAGGAAGGCAGGCGGAAAATGAACACCCGCGATCTAAGCAACGGCCGCTGTTCTGTGCGAATCATAGAATCAGAAGTTGATACGGAATGTTATGTTGAGGTCCCGGCCGTCTTGTAGAAGCGGGCACATTGCCTTCCTTCGACAAACTATAATCAGATTGGAGTCGTGATATGTCTACAGCTTTCCTAATCTGACGCGATCGAGTGATTATCTTACAATGCTGTATAAAGCATGTCTTCATAGGTTATATCATTTGAGTATACATGCGTTCAGCAGTGGTTACCTATTTTCCAGCGACTAAACAGGTATAGGTCACATTTGCTTCTCAATGCAGCGGCTTACAAGTCCAGCTGGTGGGTTCATCCGGATCACCCGTCTCATGATACTGGCCTGGTTGGGACAATGAAACTGTCTTAGTACAGTCTCCTCTTCTAGGCTAGCATAAGATCCACCCCGCTGGCCCAGGGTGCATCGGGTTGAGTTGTCCGTCGAGTCGAGTCATACTAAGACATTGCAAGTCCTTACCCCATTGCGATAAGACCATCCGTTCGGCATAGGCCCTTGAGTCAAAGAGTACGTGCTGCCACTTTATCACTCCGCCCTAGCCCTCATCTCTCTCTCTTCATCATGCTCACCTAATGATCTTGTTTCTGTGTTACTTTCTCTGCGACGCAGCCCAACCACCCAAGATGCCCTCCATCCCTCGACTCGCTTTCTTGTCCCTGGTCATCTCGCCTCTCGCCTGGGCTCAGCTGGAGACAATCAACATAATCACCCCGGCTGTTTCTCCACCCACCTCAACCTCATTGACCAACCGCCCTCATCATCATCATGCTCAAGCTTGACATCCAGTCCAACAACAACATCAGCTCCGCTCCCAAGCTCCTTACCCAGCACCACAATCACAACCACCGCCACAACCACCACCACAACAACCCCTAGCAACCCACTAGACCTCACCACAACCTTCACGCAACCCTCCGACTGCGCCAGCGGAATCACCGAACTAGCAACACGGTCCACCGAACTGTGCCAGAACATCATCAACCCGGTGCCCACCCTGACGCTATCCTCCTGCTACCCCAGCCAATTCTACTCCAGCGCGATAGCCCCCCACAATCCTGTCACCGTACACCCAGCTGATCTGTCCGCTGGACTGGGAGACGTACAATCTCACCGAGACGTATCTCATCTGCTGTCCGAGGTCGGGTATGTTCTTTCCCCTCCCGATCGAGGGATCCGTCGCATCGCTGACTGGATGGATGCTCTGCATAGCGGGTACGGGGATTACCTACCCGACTACCGCGACGCGACGCGCCCGGGGCTGGGCGCCGTCTGCGCGTCGAGCGTCTGGCCGAACGTGTTGATGGATATTAGGTGGTGCTGCGGTCGGGGTGTCTACCCGTAGGGAGGCTTCGGGGGCGTCGAGGGTGACTATGTCTTGGGGTCGTGGGGTTGGGTGGATTCGTGCTTGTTTTCTCTGCTTTTCTTTTGTTTTGGAGATAGTGATGTTGTTGTGAGTGAGGGGTTCAGTTAGAGGTTTTATGTTGATTTCATCCACAGCCTTTGATTATGGTAGTGTGGCTGTTTGATGTCCTCGCTCATGCTCTCACTGAGTCCATCGCACGGATTGTACCCAATTTCAAGTGAAGGTTGTTTATTCCTGACTGTGGAGTTGATCGTGGGTGGGCGATGAGTCACTGGACTGGAAGAAAGCACAAGACTAAATACTGACTCCTACAGGGCTCCGATGATTCCCCCGGGGTTCAATTAAGCTAACTCATTCAGGGTCCTACACAATGTCTAGCTAAGCCCCTGATAAGCACTACCAAGCATCGGCTAAGCACTATTGAGAGCTAGGATGATGGCTGCATGTGCTAGCTTGGCAGGCTCGCAAAGTGTCTCAGGGTTCACGTTCGAACCCAATGGGTCAATGTCAAGTGCATGAGTTGTGATTCGTGGGCCGTTTCTTCTTGTCTCACTTTCACTGAGTGATGGCTGTTAATATCTTTCGAGTAGACTGCGATAGTCCGTTAAGCTCGCTCCGCCCAGGGTGGCCTTTCAGGAACCTGCGGCGCTGCCCAGTAATTACGCTTCCCGGAACGCTTCGAACCAGCCAGCCAGCCAGCCAGCCAGCCAACTGCTGGTCGGTGCCTTGTGTTCTGTAACTTTATGAGGGGTGGCGTAGCTCTAACTCGGGCTGTTGCCACCGTGTTGCTGTCAAATGAGAATACTGCTCTCTGCAGGCAGGAACACGAAGAATAGGATCTCGCGCACATCACAGTCTAGAATGCAACACCTAGATGCATGTCTCGCAGACATGATCGTTTCCTAGGTACGGTTATATCCTAGCTGAGTACGGGTCAACCATTCGAGCCCAGCGCAGCATACATGCATAATGTTCCCCTATCCACACATCTTACTCCTCGATCTCAACAACAAGCCCAGGAATCAACTCCACGCTGCCCGCCCTCCCCCCCTTCAACACCAACCGAATCCCCCATTCCTCCGCATTCTCACTTCCCACCAATTCGACCTTACGTCTCCCCCCAGCCTCTGCAGACGGAACATCCACCCCCCACAAACCCTCAGACCCGTCCCCAAAAACGGCAGTATAAACCTCACTCAACCTCTCCCTCTCTCCCGCAGGCACCACAACAGTCACCCCGGCCACCCCGGTCACGCCCGAAGGATGCCTCGTCAGGCCCTCCCCTTCCCTGTACGGAACCCGCCACGCTCTCGGCGTCCTATCCAAACACCAAAACGGCAACCGACCCACCTCAACCTTCCCCGGGACTTCATGCCCATCCGCCCCATCATCATAGACAGCAGAACTAATCTCCCACTCCAATCTCACCCCATCCCCCTCCCTTACCCTGCCCCCAGCCACGGGATCCGTATACGCAATCCCCGTCGCGGGCCGTGCAGCCTCCACCCGCCGCTGCACCTTCCCGAACTCCTCGGCCGAGGCGAGGGTGAGCGCCCAGTCGATCACGGTGTTCTCGGGCCGGGTGCCCCAGCGGTGTGACCGGCGCTTCTCGGGATCGATGTCGGCGACGAAGGCGATTAGCTCGAGGTAGACTCCGTCTTGCAACAGAATGAGCTTGTTGGTGGTCAGGCCGTCGGCGTGGGTGCCGCCTGGGGCGAGATGGAAGGTTTCCGTGAGGCGGGAGGGGAGGGACTCGAGAGTGGCGTGCGAGACGAGGAGGACGATGTGGTCGAGGTGGGGTTGGGGGGGCATGCTGGGTGGTGGGTTGTCTGGTGAGTGATTTTTGGGGTGTAGGATGGGATTGTTGGTGGTAGGTGAGTGAGGTTGATGAAGTTGATGAGGTTGACGATAAGTGAGGTTGCGGTGGGGGAAAGAAGGTTGGGTGAGGGGTTTGTTTATGCGTGAGTGCTGGTGCGGGGTTGCGGATTGCTCATCGGGGGGCGGAGGCACCTCATCTTGTCTCCTGGGACCATTCCATGGGCAGCCGGGAACCTTTTTTTGGTCAAACGTGACATGACCTTTCTCGTTGTACGAGTCCCAGTTTGTGATACAAATGCGACTGTAAGGCTCTCCATCGCATCCATTGGTTCGCTTTCGAATGTTTCCCTCTGGCTATTCCCGGGTGGATTCAGGCTGTGCCACAACCGGACGGCTTCCGGCACTGACATCTCAAATCGAGTCTGCTCCGTCGCTGGAAGGACTAACGCACAAGCACGAGCCCTGCTTGTTCTTGGTAGCCTGCCTTCATTCTCCCGTCTGGCTGTGAGTACGCTTCGGGCTTCAATCAAGTCCTCCATCTCAATTCCAGTGTGGCTCTCCTGAGTGGGGGGAAATTGCGGGATCCACTCAAATGTGACCAAAGACGCACATTATGTCTTTGCTTGCGACTACCGTACTGTCATCCTGGCATCGGCAGCTTTCATCATGAAGCGGGTCACGGTGAAGATTCCCGTTGCATGGGGTCAGATCGCACGGGTCCAGAGAGGAATCGGCGGCTCAGGATCCTTCCACACCCGCGTAGCATGTAGGACCTGGCATCTCCGTGTGAGATTACCCAGTCCAAGCTGTGGAGCACATTTACTGCGGTAGACGCTAACGCAGCCGCCTCGCCTTGGAGCCACTGCTGCTTTCTTCCTCGGGCCCTCTTTTTGTGCCATTGATTCCTGAGGAAGCAATGCCTTTGGCGAGATGTTGAGCCCTAGGAGCCACCAGCTCAGCGGTAAGACGGTCGGCAAAGGTGTCATGCGGCTGGAATGCAATCTGTCTTCTTCGAATCACCGGACGCTCAATGCACGCTGTGGCAAGTTTTGGACAAGTGAGCGCCTTGAGAAGCTCAGCGGTGATCTCAGCCTCGTACAAATGAATATGTTCGTGGTCCCTTGCGCCGGTCACGAGAAGCCGCGACTAGAAGCAGGTGAGCTTAGAAAGATAAGGACTTTGTATTGGGGAAAGACAGACAGCGTAAGAATTGATCTCTGGTTCGGGCGGCTTCACTTTGCGCTCTTGAAGTTGTGCAAGAGCCAACAGCAGGCACACAAGATAGGGGTCCTCAGTCCACTCCGGGGGGGTTATTTGAGCCAGTCGCTTCTTGGCAATTGCCGCGCCGATCCAGTTGATGCGTCCACGCGGATCTGGACACACCTCGAAGAGTCTCATGCGATCTCCGTTGACGTATCCATAATGCAGGTAACCGACCATTGAGGGTGCGCCTCGAAGCACATGCTCGCTGGCTCGTCCATGGCGATGCAGTACCGTGTACTGGGACCGATGAACTGGTTTACCTGCAAACGAGAATCGGGGCCCTTTGCTGCTCCAGGCAGGTCTTTAGTCAGCCACTGCCGATGAGCTGGGGGTCGTGTTGCCGGATCAACGTATCTCTTACCGAGATCGAGCAAAGGCGCGTTCCTCGCCCACCAGAATGTCGACAAGGCAGTGATGTTTGACGTTGGGAATCGGTGATCGTGCAACTCGCTCAGCATTGCTTGCTAGGTCTGCGCAGGTCTGTGGGGTGGCTCGGGTTTCGTCTTTCCTCCCAGTGGATTCTATGCTGTCATTGTCCGCATCTTCAAATCTACATCCTAAGAGATTGAGATGGTGGGAGGTCCATGAAAGCGGATTCACGAGCAATTCACGATGGTTTTGCATGAGGTCGCAGAGTGGGACCTGGGGCGACGAAGTCACCATTATGCCATCAGATAGGGATGGGAACATTGGCTGGTGATGTTTTGTTGGTTGACCTGGGTATTGGTCCGATAGGGATTGGCTTCACCGCTTGATCTGCCCGCAATTACTGACACCGCCTACGGTAATCTCCTCTATGTGGAGGCAAGATTTTGTACGGATTATCGAGTGTACCTTATGTGCTGGATATACCCAGTTAGATCATGCATACTTTGCAAGTGTGACCATTTATCTGTTTTGCTCTCCCAGTCACAAAATCACGGGTTTAGGATTATATATTACCTACTTCAGCCCACACCCTTTAGGAGAGTCGATCTCAGCAATATTTTGAGGACTTTACTCCTTGGTGTTTTTGTAGAAATCAAGTTTGGCCGACTAAAGTCTCTATAGATATTAGATCCTGATGTTGGCTGGTAGGCCATTGAGCTCCAAAACCGAGAAGGCTGAAATCCTCGATCACCAGAGAAAAGCCATCGCTGCCATCCTTCCCCGTCGACAGTCCAAGGATGATGTCCAACTGTACAGTACCAACTTCGATCGCTCAGAAATAATAAATGAGAACATCGGCATGCAACCTCACCGAGGCATCCCACCGGCACCGAGCAGCGGAGCTGATCATTCAACACAGCAATAACCCACCGCGGCCAAGAGTTCAACCCCGCTGCATAAATTGCCTGACTCGACAGCGAAAGCCCTGAGACCTGGCTACGGTTCAGAAAGGGTCCACTTTGCCCCCTCCTGCGAGCCTGCAAACACGTCACAGGATGACCTTATCCGGGCTAAGCTGCGGGACCCTGGCACAGAATTATCTTATCTGATCAACATGCAATTTGCATCCGGGGATCTGATTAGTGGGCAGCCCCATTCACCCTGAGACATCCCACATTGCCAAGAGCCCGCCGCGGCCGGGCGAGGACCACCAGCACCGGTGCTTGAGGTGGGATGAGGTATATATTCGAGGTCAACGAAGTCAAAGACAGTCTCAGATGGGACCAATTCTTCCTCGCATATCCAATCTACGCAGATATCGCAAGTCAACCATAACACCTCACCATGCGTTTCTCCAGCGTCCTCGCTCTACTCTCCCTGGCTGTCCTGCCTGCCTTCGCCAGTGCAGTCGACAACAACCAGGTATTGCCCCCTTACCCCTGTCCTGCTTCTGAGATATTCTCCTTGTACTAAAGATTGCTTGTGGGGAATAGGAATCCTCAATCAGCAAGCGCTGCTGCATCCTCTGCGACAACCCCTACGCCCGCTGCGGCGCGAACGACAAGCGCGAGGCGGTCGAGACGGAGGAGGAGGCGCTCTTCGGCCCCGTCGCCAAGCGCTGCTGCGTCAACTGCGACGTCAACCGCTGCAAGCGCGACGAAGAGCCCGTGGCCTGGCCGGCGAAGCGCTGCTGCATCCTGTGCGATAACCCGTACGCGAGCTGTTTGACGAACGATAAGCGGGAGGCAGTGGAGACTTTGGAGGAGGCTGTTGGGGAGTACTAGGGGTGTCTACAAGTTGGTGTATTCTTTGTGACGAGAGACGAGATGGGATGGATTAAAGACTCCATATCGATGTATGCCGGGTGGTTGTGGAATAGTCGAGGTTGGCATGTCAGATCCTAGGTTAGGGTAGTCGAACCATGAACACTAGACACGACTCTCTTGCAAGTGTATACATGTATGCTATAGTAAAGTTCCTCTATTTAACACTATCTTGTAATCCGAAGCTATATGAGGATCATCTTATTTATGATTACTTCTCGTTGGGTTGTGTGGTTAGTGAGTGGAAAGTCAGGGAAGAAACACGGGACCTCCTTGGAAATTCAGCGGGGTGTACCTCACCAGACCTACACTCTAAAGACTGAGTACATGCTCATCTGTGCAGGACCTTATCGACAATAGCCTGAGTGAAATGCTCACGAAGGTGCTCTTGAGCCCATCGGAGCTACAACACGCGGTGAGTTACCCCTGGCCTGCAAGGGCAGCTGCAAGGGATACATGCCACGACCAGCAACCAACCCAACAACGCACCTCGAATCCTATCCACACGTTCAGCGATACGTAATCACGCATAGTAATTCACCGAGCAGACAAAACCCATCTCCCCTCCCAACCCACGACCTCCACCACAACAACACCCATCCCAGCTCAACCACCACCACCCACCGAACCCACAATGCATCTCACCCGCACCCAATGGCTCCAAGCCCTCGCCCTCGCCCTACGTACATCCCCATCACCATCCTTTACCCCTCCCAACCCCAACCCCATAACCCAAACTAACGAAAACCAAAAAAAGTCCCACCCCAACCCGCCGCCAAGAACCTCACCACAGCCCCAGATCCCACCACCCCCTCCCTAACCTACAGCATCACCATCCCCAACACGAACACCAACACCAACACCAACGCCAGCACCAACACCCTCAACCCCCCCGAAGATCCCCCAAGGGGATCCGGACCAATCTACCTCCGCCTCACCGCCCCGACAACCATGCAATGGATCTCCCTCGGCCAGGGGCCCGACATGGCCACCGCCAACATCTTCATCGTGTACGCCGCCTCCGCCACGAGCGTCACGCTCTCCCCGCGGTCCGGGGGCCAGGGCCAGCCGCGGTATAATCCCGCGGCGAATGTGACGCTGCTCGAGGGGTCGGGGATTGTGGATGGGATGATGGTGGCGGAGGTACGGTGTGAAGATTGTTGGGGGAGTTGGCCTGCTCTGCCTGCTGGTGGTGGGGATGGGGTGGGGGAGGGGGGGGAGGTTGAGGCTGGGCCTGGGGCTGCGAGTGGGGCGGGGAATGCGACTGCGGCTGCGGCTGCGGCTGCGGCTGCGGCTACTGGTGGTGGGGGGTTCGTGATGGATCCGAACGGGAATGAGACGGCGTGGTTCTGGGCGTATCAACTCGGTGCGCCGCTGCACAGTGATGATGTCGGGGCGGAGCTGGGGATGCATGATGTTAAGGGGGAGATGGTGTGGGATTTGAGGGAGGCGCGGTTTGAGGTTGGTGCTGGGGACGACGAGTTGGTGGAGGGGTTTAATCCTTTTGTTTGAGGGGGTGGGGGTATGACTAGATGAGGTTGGGGTTCGGTGACATTGCACGGGTAGGAGTTTGACACTGGTGGAGATTATATTGAGATCATAAGCATACAGGAAGAGGAATGTGGGATTGGAAAATGAGGTCGAAATCTGTGTACGCAAGCGAGCACTCATTACCAATTATAAGCGAAACAGGAACTGGTCAATACATTAGTATCTAAGAAATGCACAAGAAGCGAAGACTCTAAACATGCCATGACCCCGATGCGACCAACCATCCACAACGCCATCCTTCGGAAGGCACCTGCAATCACTCCTGACCCTCCCCAAACTGCCGCGTCCACTCCTCCCTCCCCATCTTCTGCCCAAACGCCCCCGTCATCCGATCAAACCGCCACCGATAAACCGGCCACACCAGCGAAGCCACCACCCCCATCACCCAATCCCTCACCGGCCGATCGCGCGGACTCGGCCCGCGCATGTTATTCAACAGCAGCTCCGTCTCCCCGTCGACCGTGATGTACCCCTGGCCCGCGCGCAGCCCCCGCAGCGTCAACTCCGCCACTTTAGCCGCCGTCAACCCGCCCTTGTTGTCCGCCGACCCCTCCATCTCTTTCAACAGGTGCGGTTTCCGGATTTGCTCTTCATAGAACGCATCCGTGTATATCGTGCCCGGGAAGCTGCAGTGCACGCGGATGTCCTGCTGCGCGCGGTACAGCAACACCTCCGACCGCAGGGTGTCGGCCAGCGCACGCGTGGCGGCTTTCGTCGGGGTGTAGGCGGCGTAGCCCGGGAAGCCGAGGAAGGCGGCCGTCGAGGCGGTGAAGATAAGGTGGCGTTGGGTTTGGCTGTCGGCGGGGGGCTCCTGCAGCCAGCGCCGGAGGCAGGCGTGCGCGATGTACGCGGCCGCGAAGTAGTTCTGGTCCATGCAGGATTTGATCTCCTCCGGGGTGATGTTGGCGAAGAAGCCGACTTGGGCGGCGGTGCCGCCGGCGACGATGAAGAGGATGGATGGTGGGGTGGGCTGGGAGGCGATGAATTCTTGGACCTTTTGGGAAATGTAAGTGTGTATGAAGCAATGATGAGTAGGGCTGAGGCAGGCTTACCTGTTTCGGATCTGTCAGATCGACGGCGGCGGCGCTGATGACCTGATCCGGCGACTGCGTGTGGGAGAGCAGCTCTTTACGGGTCTCCTCGAGTGGGCCGGGGCTTCGGGCTAGGATGGTGACATGGGCGCCTGCATGCGGTGGGGCGCACGTTAGTGGCTGGCTTCGTGGGAGCTTGATTTGATGTCAATCTTCCGAGAAAACATGCCTTGGGTGGTGAGTTGGATGGCGAGTTCGCGGCCTAGACCCTTTGATCCACCGGCGATGACGACGGTCTGCATGCATGTTAGACGGGGCTCGCTGTCACTGTGGGGGAGTGGGTTCCGACATACCTGGCCTTGGACGTGAAAGTGCTTGCTTTGCGTCATGGTGTCACTTTTACACGCAGTCTGGGGATTTCTAGTGGACTGGGTGAAGAATGTACTGTACTATGGTTCAGTGCCGGAGGGTAAACAAGATATGATTCAGGGGTATTTTGCAGAACCATGGGATGATCGGGCTGGGATCTTCTGCATGACTAGTGCTTATCGCCCGGCGGAGTATCGTATTTCCGGCCTCAGCCTTGCTCGAAGATCATTCCATATTCTACCCATCAGGAGTGAGGATCACGAGATGAATATCTGACATCAATATGACAGAATGATGCTCGTGGAATGCAAAGAAAAACTTGATATGTCGGAATGTGCAGCCCTGTCTGACCCCTATGCTTCTTACCCTGTCCGGGAGCAGCATTATCGCGATCATCAATGATTAGCCGTGGCGGGCCGCGCCAGCGAAGAACCTGTGGGGCCACCGGGGGGTTTTGCCCTTGGTGCCATCTTGCCCTCTGGCTGGCCAGCTCCGGCGAACGCCTCCAGTGGGTCAGGAAACTGCCAAAGTCGAATCGGAGATTGGAATTGTCGATAGCGTCGAACGTATGCCCCTTAGACTCATGCGTCATAGGACAGATTAGAAAATAGACTCTGATAGGGGAGCGGAAGCGAGGAAAAAGGAAAATAAGCGATGATCATGCTCGTTAGGCACGAGAATCTGCAGCTGTCCGCATGGATCCGCGGCAGCTGAACTGTGGGTCTGTGGTCGTGGGACCTGCCTTTGCTGTCTTGTCCGAGTAGATATATGAGCGTGGTTGTCTTCTGGAAACCCAATCTTCTGGGAGATTGGGGCCACATATTTTGTGTGTGATCGACTGAAACGCAGGATGACGTCGTCTCCCTTCATCATAACAGAGCACATCGTCGGGTGCCAACATGTCCGCGAATACCCTCATGCGACGAGACACGGTGATGATGCGCTGCAGCTGGTGGTGAAGCGGTACACTCCCAAGTCGAACCCGGATCCCCAGCCGGGAGATGTCACAATCATTGGTGCGCATGCGAGTGGGATGCCCAAGGTCTGTGGCCTCTAACGTAAATACTGCGCTCATTAGCCTGGCAAGACACTAACCTCGAGAATAGGAGCTTTACGAACCACTATGGGAAGAAACCCTCGCGAAGCTCGAGCATCAGGGTGTCCGGATCCGCTCTATCTGGGTCGCAGATACGGCAAGTCAGGCCGCTAGCGGGCTGCTGAACCGACAGATTCTAGGCAATGACCGTAAGCAACGCCTCAAAACGACAATCCTGACCAATACTGATTCGAATCCAGCATCCTGGTTCGACCACTCCCGAGACCTTCTGCATCTAATCAATACCTTCAAGGCCGAGATGCCGCGACCGATCATCGGCGTGGGACACAGTCTCGGCGCCGGACAACTGTAAGTTCCTCCCTCCCAACCCGAAATACCGCACAGCAATAACCGTCAACTCAGAATGTTGTTATCCTTAATGCACCCCCGCCTCCTCACCTCCCTCATCCTCATCGACCCCGTGCTGGCCCCAGATGTTCTCACCGGCAAAGGCGCCGCCTTCGCCCGCGCCTCCCTCTCCGCCCCCGACAAGTGGGCCACCCGTGCCGCCGCCACGACATTCCTGCGCAAACAGTATCGCAAATGGGATCCGCGGGCGTTCGATCGCTTGCTGCAATACGGCCTAGTCGACACCCCTTCAGGAGTCAGTCTCACCACGTCGCGCCACCAGGAGGTGATACAGTACCTTCGTGCCAATTTCTCGGGCCGCAAGCCCTTAGATCCGGCGAATGAGTCAGAGGCGCATGATGCGGTGTTCCATGCGGATGTCATCGGTCCCGCGCACGCGATCGCCCCGTTCTATCGGTACGAGCCCATCCTGGCGTTCAAGCTGCTGAAGCATGTGCGACCGTCTGTGTTGTATGTCTTTGGTGAGAGTAGTCCGATTTCGACGCCGGAGATGCGGGCGGAGAAGGTGGAGCGGACGGGGCGGGGCATCGGGGGAAGTGGTGGGCGTTTGCGGGGAAGAGTGAGGGAGGTTGTTGTTCCGGTTGCCGGGCATCAGGTTCCGTTTGAGGATGTAGGTGGTGTGGCGGTTGCGATGGCGGAGTGGCTGGGCATGGAGGTTAGGAGGTGGAAGCTGGATGAGCAGCGGATACAGCGGGATTGGGAGGAACGGTCGGTGGAGGCGAGGGTGACTTTATCTGGGGAGTGGGAGAGTCACTTGAAAGATTCTTTGAAGAGGAAGGACAAGACTTTGAGGGCGAAATTATGATATGATAGATGGGGGAGCAGGAAGTAAATAGAAGCTGGCTTAGAAAACCATGTTCGCTAGATCATGTCATGCTTAGCAATAAGTCGGGAGTATAAAGGCGCTGACTAGGCTTGATTATGGTAATGTTGATATCATTCATTCGCTCTGCGCAATTTAATTTTGACTGAAGGGCTAAAAATGTGTGTTTCTCCCCCATAACTTCTTTTTCATCCTTCGAAGCCCGTCCTTACATTTTGACACAGTCACCTCACTCCTTTTCTTCCGTACTTTAGTCTCTGGACTCATCATCGGAAGGCTTTTCAACTCACTCGTTCCAACACACGGCAACCCTTCCCCAGAAAGCCCGTCCGCGAGTGTTTGGCTTGCTCTGACGCCACCATGGGTCTCTCCAGATTACCCCCCGAGCTCATTCTCATGGTCGCAGAAAGCCTCGACTCGGAAAAAGCGATCAACTCTCTGACTCGAATAAATCGATTCTTCTACTCCCTGTTGAATCCCTTTCTCTACCGCTACCATGCCCGAAACGACGTTGAGCTCTCTGCTTTACAGCATGCCGCAAGACGGAACCTCCCAGGGGTGATTGAACACCTTGTCGATGCTGGTGTCAGTCTCCACAGTCGGGAAGCATGGTTTGACTATTCGTTCTACAGAAGGCCTAAGTACGACCACCCGATTGTCTTGGCTGCAGATTCAGGCCACGCCAATGTCATGGAGACGCTGTTGGACAAAGAAGAACTGACTAGCGGGCTCACCGAAGAAGACTTCTCTGATATAATTTTTGATATGCCTAATATAAAGTACTGGGCAGCGCACGACAACCAGGCCAAAGTAGTGAAGGTGCTGCTGGACCGAAAAGTGACGGATCCATGGACCGATGATCCTATCATCGCCAGCGCTGCAGAACGCGGCCGCGTTGATATTGTGAATCTACTGCTGAAAGATGCAGATGAACGGATAAAAACAGGCCTCCTGTCTGAAACCGTTCGGCAGCGAGGAATAGCGAGGGCGTTGATTAGAGTGATTAAAACGCAGAATTCTCAAGCCATGATCACACTATTACTGGAAGCGGGGGCTGATATCAATATCGTTACTGAGCAGGGGACCCCTCTCGGGCAAGCTGCGTACTACAAGCACGTGGGTGCTGTGAAGCTTCTCCTTGAAGCCGGGGCAGACCCCAATGTTACGAAAAACCGAAAATGGGGACCACTTGCGCGCGCAATACAACCCTGGCATGGTAATATGACTTACTCATGGGACCCCCCCGGGCACGATTCAGAAGATCCTAGCCGACAACCATTACCTCGTCCAATGTCACCCTCCGTCAGGGAGATCTTCCGTCTCCTTTTTGAGTATGGAGCGGAACCATCTCGAGCTGGGGGTAGCTGGGCACTGCACCGTGCTGTAGTTTATCAATGTTATGAGGCGGCACACCTGTTGATCGACAAGGGTGCTCAAATCACTACGTCTCTTGTGAACGATTCTCAGCAAGCGGCCTTGAACCAAGCGGTAGCGGATCGCGACTTTGAAGCTATCAAGGCTCTAGTGCACAAAGAGTGGTCTATGAATGCCTAGGCGGGACTTCCGAGCTCGAGGCTCCAGACTTCCAGGTTTCAACATGTATGTGAATGGTACAAGACCTGTTCCTCATTTGTGTTTCAAGCCTGAGATAGTAGTGTCGTAAGAAAACCAGAGAAATTAGCATAAAGCCATCAATAATTAGCTGTAGTATCACAAACACACAAACTTCATATCGTACTATAGCTGTCAAAAGAAATAATCATGTAGCCCATCCTCCATAACAGATACACACCCTAACGTTAGACAAATGATTCCTCAGGCTAACAAGAGAATTTCAAGAGAGTAAAAACCACTACTTATATATAATGAGAGTTTGGCAAAGTCACTGACAGACAGGGCTGTTTATGTCTTTACTCGTCTGGTGCCCCTATCCGCGTGTATCCACCTGATCTGGTTCCCATTCACCCAAGCGAGATGTCTTCTGGGGGCGTAGATAGCTGTACAAAAGAACATATACTCAGATATCAACAGTTCTTCTCACTTTGTAGGTTCTGATTTAATTTTTCTTCCAATATTTGCTTACTTTAATACAACATACCAGAAGGATCTCCAACTCACAAACTGAACCTACAAGAAGACTGCCTTCACCTTCGAAATACAGAAATATGAATCTTTTAAAGCTACTCCCCGAGCTATTTCTGATGGTTGTCGAGAGCCTGCCATCCAAAAAGACAATTAACTCCCTCGTACGAACCTGTCGATCACTTCTCCCCCACCTAGACCCATTTCTTTATCGCTATCATGTTCAAACAGATGACGTCTCTGCTTGAAAGCATGCAGCTGCAAACAATCATCCTGAAGTCGTCAAAAAGCTTCTTTATGTTGGTGCAGATCTCTACGACAGCACGAGTCAGAGCTCTATATCTGTCCTCAGCCCAACCACCCCGTTATTATCGCAACGATCCACGACCACCCCGCGATGCTGGAGACCGTATTGGACGAAGACACCGGAGGAGGGATGATCCACAGAATGAGTGGAGGTATTTACGCAGTCATGCTGCGGTACGCCATCTGGAACAACGCGGTAGGAGTGGTTTGCATGCTATTGTTTGGTAAGATGAGATATTTGTACAACAAGCGCGAGCCGAGATCCATCTTCCCCCGCGCGATCGCTGCAATCGGGGGCCACGCAGAGATTGTTGAGATGCTCCTCCAAGAGTCCACCGAGCGCGTCAAGTCGGGTCTCCTCTTTCCAATCACCCAGCATCGCGAGATCACTGCCGCGCTCTTCGACGCCCTGCGCAGCACGGACCCGGACGCCACCGTCGCACTGTTGCTGCGGGCCGGCGCAGACGCCAACGCCCCGAACAGCTGGGACATACATAACCCCCTTGATGCGGGCGGTTACTACGAGAGACATATCATGGAAGAATTTGATAACACAAGTACGCAGTGCTCATGATCATCATCATCACTTGAAGACTGTACTGTAATCCATCCTCACCACCAACCCCCAAAACACCCCTAAGGAAACGGATCATACGCCCCCTCCCCCCAGCAAGCGCCCTGCACCTCATCGCCCATAACATCCACCTCCGCAACCCCCTGCGCCCCAAACCTCTTGATGACCCCACCCCCCACGGCCTCAGCATCAAACGCAGCCCACCCCATCCCCTCCAAGCCATGCAGCGGATCCCTCGCAAACGCCAACAAATAATCCTGCATCACCCGACTCGTCCGCACCTCCTCCCCCGTCGTCTCATCGCCGCGCACAATCCCAAACGTCCCAAAATTCATCGTCAAATCACTCGAATGATACGCCCCCATCCACCCGAGCGGACTCACATTGCTGAAATTCCCCGCAAACTGATACCGATACGTCTTCAGCCCGGCGCGCTGCCGCACCACGCTCGTGTTCGCACTCACGCACAGCCAATCGCGCAGCGTCACCGCATCCACCCCCTGCTGCCACGGCCCGGCCGTCAGATTCCTGCTGGGGAAAGGGTAGAGCGGGGCGGCCTCGTTCGCGCAGTTCGAGACGATGGCGGGGGTCTTGGCGATGAGACCCTTCGCCGCGCGCGCCGGGTAGTCGGCGAAGATGATCTTCTCGTCCGCGACGGGGGCGAAGGTCATGGTGGGGGCGGTCTTGGCGTCGCCGTAGCGGCCGATGAAATTCTGGATCGTGTCGATGGGGACCTGGCGCATGCACTCGAGTTCCTTGTGCGGGTGGTCGGGGAAATCGCACCCGAGGTTTTTGGCGACGAAGGTGAAGTTCGAGTGGCTGGTGTCGACGCTGGGGGTGGTTTTGAGGGCCGTCCCGGACTGCGAGATGGTGGCGCGCGCCAGCAGGTTGCTGTGGAAGGCGTAGGTGTGGTAGTCGACGCTCATCGCGCCGGCGGATTGGCCCCAGAGCGTGATGGCCGACGGGTCGCCGCCGAACTCGCGGATGTGCGCGTGCACCCACTCCAGGGCGGCGCGCTGGTCGAGGATCCCCAGGTTCTGGTCTTCGAGGGCAGCGGCGTTGGGGAAGCCCATGATGTTAAGGCGGTAGTTGGTCGTCACGACGATGTGGTCTTGCGTGCGGTTCACCCAGGCGGGCGGCAGCTGGTAGGGGACGCGGATCCCGCCGGTGCGGAATTGGCCCCCACTGTAGAAGACGAGCACGGGCAGGTTGGAGGCCGCGGTCGCGTTGGCGGGCGTCCAGATGGCCAGGTGCAGGCAGTCTTCGGCGCTGTGCTGGGCCATCGCCCCGGCGGTGGAGTTCTGGTCGGGCGCGTTGGAGATGAGGAATTCCGGGACCAGGGTGCCGAACACGGAGGGGCCCCGGTACACGTACTGCGAGCAGGCGGGCGGGAATTGCGTGGCATTGTGGTGTTGGTTGGAGGCCGGGAGCGGGTGAGGGGGCTGCCAGCGCCGGGAGCCTACGGGGGGTTGGGCGTAGGGAATGGCCCGGAATTCACGCACGGAAGGGTAGGAAGGGTTGTAGAGGCCGGTGTAACTGCCTGTGCTGGTGTGCACGGTCAATGCATCGTCACTGTGGTGGGAGGTTGCCGTCACGCTTTGCGCGGGTAGTAGCAGCAGCAGCGATGCGGATAATAACGGGAATCTCATTCTCACGGGTGAGAAGTAATTTGGTGGCTGCAGCTACTTCGAAGGTTCTCAGAGAGTGCAGGCGGCCCTGCATGAACGGTATCAGGTCTGGGTGCCACATTGTCAATATTTAATCAATGTCCGGGGTTTGGCCGGCCCTCCGCAATATGCGGAGTCATTTCCCCCGGTTCCCCATGGTTCGGTGACAGCTACAGCTGGCACTCTCATTGCCGAACTTTCTGTCCGAGATGGATTCGGTGGCTTCTCGTCTGGAGTCGAAAGAGTTAGGGCGCAGTCGGCTGCACCTCGGTGGTCGGATTTTCCGAGCAGCGGTGCAGCGTCCCTGGATCGATGTAACCCTACGATAACAGAATCCTTTTATGAGGAGCTGCAAGACGGCCCGTCTCAGGCGAAGGCTTTCGTTTCCGTCTTGCGCCGGTCTATAGGGAGGGCTGATTGGCTGTGTCGCTTTGTCACTGGGGAAGACATTATGATCGCTACGTATTGCATCACCTGCCGAGAATCTGATTAGGGTCCTCGGCATAATACAGTCCGGCACGTGGAGGAGTCGATAAGATAACGCCTTCCCTACTGTAGCTTAGTACTCAAATAAAACTAGAGCAACTCCATGCCTCAGACTGTGGGCAAAGGCTCTGTCTCTCGATAGTAGCGAGACTATCGATTCCACTACATGAGCCCGGCGTCCAAGACAGGAATAGAACTACGTATTCATGCTCCATCCGGAACTTCCTGCGTCCATCCGCCGAATGCTCCGCTTAGTCCTATAGGCATTGGAGTCGATCAACGTCAAAACAAGTAACGATCACCCGGTGATCTCATTCCCGTTGTTCTCGCAATTTCTCTCCTGCCAAGCACTGAACCCAGCAAACAGAAACCCAAGCCGCCCAGCCGTCATGAACAGGGGTTGTCATTATCTGGACACCAGACCAGATCTCGTACAAAGCAAAGTCATGAGCACTCACTCACTATACGAGCCAATCTCCACGATTAATTAAACCGGTGCACAATACTAAGTACAAGTAATAAAAAAAAAGCGTTTGCCAACGGGCTCCGGAGGCCATCCGGGCATATTCTCCGTCTTGGCACAGGACCGTTCTTTTTCTTTGCAGAAACTCGGGATTTCCGAACGGCGCTAACGCGGGCTTGCAGCACGCCGTTTATTCCTATTCGGGCAAGGATCTGATCATCCGCGGCCCGGTGTTTCCAGTGGTAGGAGTATGCCCTAAGACTATTTACTTCATACTGCATAGTGAAACGTGCATGCTGTCATCCAGGCTCTATGTTTTACTGCATTCCTTGGCAAGTGGGCATGGTGGTTTCCGGTGCAGCAGGTACCTCCCAGCGGGTTGTGAGTACAGATTCGCAATGCTGATCTCTGCTGGCTATCTCGGTCTCTCGATGTGCTCCACTGCCTGCGATCGTTGCAGCCATGTATAAATACCTGCCTTGATGCCGATCAAATGGGGTTTGTAGATTACCATCCTCTCTTCCACTCTCCACTCATTTCTTAGAGAAAGCTAGCCCACCATGCGGTTGCACGCCGGAGCCCTCCTACTCTCCAGTCTGAGCCAGGCGCTGGCCCGCCCAGCCAGCACCCGCGACACCTCGTCTCTGATCGTCGAGGACGCCCCCGACCACGTCCGCCCCTACGTGATCCGGCACTACTCCCACGCGCGGGCCGTGACCGTGGGCACGCAGCTGTACCGGTTCTACGTGACCGGCCCATCCTCGGGGTACGCCTTCACCCTGATGGGCACCAACGCGCCGCACAGCGACGCGCTGGGCGTGCTCCCGCACATCCACCAGAAGCACTACGAGAACTTCTACTGCAACAAGGGCAGCTTCCAGCTGTGGGCGCAGAGCGGCAACGACACGCAGCAGACGCGGGTGCTGTCCGCCGGGGACTACGGCAGCGTGCCGCGCAACGTGACGCATACATTCCAGATCCAGGACCCGGACACCGAGATGATGGGAGTGATTGTCCCTGGTGGGTTTGAGTGAGTCCATCCCCCGACCCCGCTTTGCCCCTCCCACCGCATAGCCTAACGAATACAATGAAGGGACCTCTTCTACTACCTCGGCACCAACGCAACCGACACAACCCACACCCCCTACATCCCTTCGTCCAGCGACAGCTCCTCGACCACGGGCCCCGACTCCACGACCATCACAACCCTCGAGTCCTTCGACGTCTACGCCGAACTCGCCTTCACCCCGCGCTCCGACACCGTCAACGGCACCGCCCCCGCCAGCACGGTCTGGCACAACGGCGCCAACGCCCTCGCCTCCACCGCCGGCGACCCCTACTTCATCGCCAACGGCTGGGGCCCCAAGTACCTCAACTCGCAGTACGGGTACCAGATCGTCGCGCCCTTCGTCACGGCCACCCAGGCCCAGGATACGAACTACACCCTCTCCACGATCTCGATGAGCACCGTCCCGAGCACTGTGACGGTGCCCACGTGGTCGTTCCCGGGCGCCTGTGCGTTCCAGGTCCAGGAGGGACGGGTCGTGGTGCAGATCGGGGAGTATGCTGCTACGGAGCTGGGAAGTGGCGATGTCGCGTTTATCCCTGGGGGGGTGGAGTTTAAGTATCACAGTGAGGCGTACTTCAGTAAGGTTTTGTTTGTGAGTTCGGGGAGTGACGGGTTGGATCAGGTGCTGGTCGACGGCGGGGAGGAGTGGAGCTCGGTCAGCTTTCCGGCCGATTGGTAGGGTTCGTTTTTGGTTTTAGAGGCGGGGGGCGGCGGTTATAGATCTTACTTGTATTATCTTTAGTCTTTTTTCTCGGGAAGTGTGGTAGCTATATGAATATATTCTTTTGCATTAGCAAGGTGCGACGCTTGAGATGGGAGTTTCTTGGTTTGGAGGCTTAATATGAACCACTTTGGGGGGCGCAGACAAGGCAACTCAGGGGCTTTACAAGATATATCTTGATTCAACATGACCGCCATGAAACATCTCGAAAGCACGCATTTGTCACACATCACCAGGCCACCAAAGGACCAGTTGCTTTGATGAAGAGCGAGTATTATAAGCATTCTGCATTCGCCAAAACAGATGGGATTGAAGATAATAACATCCTGGCAAGATGTTGGTAAATCACTGATCGCTTTATGATGGACATCACATCATGCTAAGCTGATGCTAGAATGGAGGTGCAAAAAGATAAGAACAACAACAAGAAATATCCTCGATGGTCTAACGGTCATGATTTCCGCTTGTCAATCCCAGCTGGGAACAAGCGCGGGAGACCTGGGTTCGACTCCCAGTCGGGGAGATTCCTTTTTTGTGAATTGCCGGCATAGTGCATCGTATGTGGCTCAGCATCTACACAAACATCAATTATTT